TTTGTAGCTATCAGTGATAACGGTTTTTATATGGCGCTCGATCTTCTGGTTATTTTTGATGGCGTTATATTTATCTAATTGGATTTGAGATATCTTCTTAATAGCTTCATAAATGTTTGGATGTTTTAACGAAGAAAATTCTGAATGCATACTCTCGAGGCAATCATTAGTGAATATTGCAGTTGCATTATTATATTGAGATATTAAATTGTAGTGCGGCAACCAAACTTTGTTGAAATAATCAATATAATCTTTGATCGAATCAACTTTATTTTGATTAATTATATGCATTGTAAGTACAAATTCTTCATGAGACATGAATGGAGTAATAGAATATAGCTTAAATAAAGAATTTTGTAAAGTATTGAAATTTTTTGTATAAAGTGCTACAAGTTTCCTGTGTAAAGCTTGTTTGAAATGAAATAGGCATCCAATTATACGGACTTTAGGGAAAATTTGTTGAAGTGCCTCTATCATTCCCTTTTCAAAATCACAATGAATTTGAATTAGCTTTGAAAATTGAATACCCTTGACAGTAAAAATATATTCAAATGCCTTCTTATAAGATTCAAATGTGCGGTTTTTCATGAATATAAATAAAAGTGGTAGATATTGATTTGTTGAAGGTTCACAAATCATAATTGTTAGCATCTGTCCTTTTTGAAAATGTTTTGGTGTAATTTTAAAAGTTCCATCGCAAAATAAATCTGTGGCTTCTTTTGCAAATTGAATTGCCTTCTCAAAACCAAAAAACATCGTCTCACAATTTGCTTGAAAATCATGGCCAATGAAAAACTGCTCGCCATTTATTAAACAAAAATTAGCAATTTCATCGTCTGTAATTTTTTCTCCAACAGAAAATTTTCTGGACTTATTATAAACTTCCCTGACCAATGAATCTTTAATTAATGGGTTTTCATCAGTACCAACAGCAAGTTCTGTCATAAATTTTTTAATCTGCTGAAAAGTGCCGTTGTCTTCAGAAAATTTTGCCATTGCCTTATTGTATATTTCTGTCAGAGTCATTGATTTATGAAGATCATTTTTTTCATTTTGTAACTTTTTAAATTGTCTGCATTCGGGTATATGTTCCTTTTGTAAATCTTCGGAAACTGAACTGTTCTCAATTTTAACTAAATAACGTGCTTGACAAGAATGATCGATGCAACGGTAGTAACGTTCAATATTATTTGAATTAATAATATTTGTATGATCATGCGAATAAAGCATATCTTTGCGAACAATTGTATCAGGATATTTTCCAGTAACTGCGGGAATATTTTTAACTGCAATATAACTAAAATATCTTCTGACAGCTTTAGATTCATTTTCGGCGTATTTAATATTAAAATATTGAAGAACTTGTTTGATTATATTCGTTTTTTCATCTCTCGATGTTGATTTTTGGTATTTATCAGATTGTTCCCTGATAAATATTTTATTTTCGTCTGTAAAGTTTGCTCTTTTTTGATTAAATATAGATGATTTTCCCATTAAAAAATGAAATGATGCAAAATTTACGAAAACCGTTCGAAAATTGAATCAAAAATGAAAAGTAATACTTAAATGAGGAATTCTTTGAGATATTGGTCTTAGATTGAATGTAGCGTCATTCTTATATAGAATATATATTCATATCATCGGAAATATGATAAAAAGCATATAATAAATGTCAAAAAAGTGAACAAATAAGCAAAGATATTTTTTAAAAAACAATGAAAAGTAATACTTAAATGAGGAATTCTTTGAGATATTGGTCTTAGATTGAATGTAGCGTCATTCTTATATAGAATATATATTCATATCATCGGAAATATGATAAAAAGCATATAATAAATGTCAAAAAAGTGAACAAATAAGCAAAGATATTTTTTAAAAAACAATGAAAAGTAATACTTAAATGAGGAATTCTTTGAGATATTGGTCTTAGATTGAATGTAGCGTCACAAATTTCACAAATATAATTTACTATACAATTTTATTCATTTTTTTAAAATGGCTGACGACAGTCTGTATCAACTAACTCAACTAGTCAAGCATAATGATTATTCTTCGGATTCATTAAATCAACTTTATCAATGCATAAGTACAATGACAGAAAGATCAATTGGATGCTTGAATTGGGATAAATTTTTCAAAAAAATCACAGTGACTGATGAAGTTCTTTTACATTTTTTAGCATCCGTTTTAAACATTGAAAAGATATCAGAATGTTTCAAGGATTCTATTTTTTATCACAATATTAATCTTGAAAAATTCAGTAATTTAACTGAAACAGAACAACAAACAATTTTAAATTCCTACAAAGCGGATAAATTTACATATTACATAATGTGCTCACAAATTGTAAAATCAAACTGGAACAATTTATCCCAAACTTTAGTTAATATTGCAAATCAATATTTGCCATTTTTAGATGAAGAAAAGCAAATATATATATTTACTGAAATAACTGGCAATTATCAAAATTTTGAAATTTCAGTTGCAAACTTGTTACTTTTTTATGAAAACAATGAAGAAAAATTAAGCAACTGTTTTAATTTAACATTGTTCCAGCAAATTTATTCCAAAAATGGAATCGAGCAAATGATATTTTTTGCTGCAAATACAATTTGTTGCAATAACACTTCTATCAATTTTTACAATCTCCTTGAAATTGAAGAAATGAATCCATTTGATTTTTTTTATTTCTCAATTCAATATAAAGAGATATTAAATTGCGATGATTTTCCAAAAGTTACAGAAGTAATCACAGGTTTAATCTCAGCTTCAAATATTAATGCTATTATGCGAATTTGCCAAAAAATTTTGGATAAAATTACATTTTATAAATGTAATTATTGCCATATTACCTCAATATGGAATTTTATCACAAATGCAGCAATAATTCTTCCTGATGAAGATTTATTAATCAAATTATTAAAATTCATAGAAAAAACAGAAAAAGCAACAGATGAATTATTCGAACCGGAGAATGATTTGGGTTTCTATGAATATTTAAATTCGATTTTCTCAGATATTACATCTGCGAGAAATAAGCAATTTCGCTTGGAATTTCTAAATACCCATGAAGATGACTTCACTTATGATCAAACATTGTGAGGTCATTTTTGATCAACAAATTAATTGAAATTCCGATCAAAAAAAATTCACAAATTGGATCAAAAAAATCGAATCTCAAGTTAAAAATAAAAATTTTCTACATTTTTATCAAATTTAGATTTTTTTTCAAATCATGCGAATTGATTGAATAATTGCATATTTTATCCCATGCATCTAGAAGTATGTGTAATATTTTTGCTTTCATCAAGAAATTGTCGAATTTGATCTTAATTTTTTTTGAAAAATATACTTTTAGAAAAAGAAATAGTGATTGAATAGCTGCCCATGCTGTAAAAGGGTTATTTTTACAAGTAAAAAAATTGTTATTTTTCGAGCAAGTCGAGGCTTTTTTACCATCTTATTTTTGAAAAATTTACGAAAAATTATATCTGAAAAAACGCTTCATTTTGATATCTTACAATGATAAAATACCAATATTGCTGGGATATAATAGCTACACCTGGACATCTACTACATTAATGCGTATGACAGGTAAAGTTGATTTCAAAAGTATAGCCTGGAAAGATTACAATAAATCAACGATAATTCAAAAAAATTTCTTATAAGTTAACATAATAAAAATTTAATTTTTATATTGCTTGTATTATACTTAAGTATATAATATATTTAAATCTTAGAATGAAAATTCGGGACGCCCTAGCTATTCAATTTTCCCTTAGGACGCCCATAAACCTCTCAAAAATGTGATGTAAATATCACAATTTTGAGAAATTTACACTAGGACGCCTTAGGACGCCAACCCCCTTTTTTACCCAAAATTTTTATTACGAATGGGAATGTGAACTTTCAGAGAGAAACCTTCTTGAAAGAACTTTTTATAGGCAAAGAATTATTTCAGAATCAGACCATACTTACAAATCTTTAATAATTGTCCATGAAATTGAATTTTTGAATATCAATTTAGTGGCTGAATAGTATTTTCCTTTAATTAGTTCATACTCCGAAATAATTTACAATAATATTCACTTTACACCACATAAGATCCATCGCGATTACCAATATCTATCATCATAATATAAAAAAACATTGAGGCTATAATTTTGGCATGCACCCTTCACGACATGGATTGTGTGAGTCGGATTTTTCAAAAAAATAATTACTGAACAAAATGTTTATTTGCAATAAATTATCTTGGAAATTTGATTAAGTCTTTGACAAAACAATGCTCAATATTGTTAATATAGTATTTTTAACTTGTTGGAAATGTATTTATGCATAAATAAATTTTTATTATTCCAAATTTTAAATAATAAACAATATTTATCTACATAGGATGCTATTTTGAGAAAATATATTATTACAACCAGACTTTGTAGAATTGTTATTCCTTAATATAGGAATATTATTTTCACGAAATATCAAATATCGATGATCAAAGTTAATACTTATCCTTTTCTATCTATTTATATGCATTATTCAATATATAAACAGGTAGATATTGAAGTATTAATGGAAATTTGATCTAAAGATCCAGAAAATTATGAGGCAATATATATGTACAACTGCATCATTAAGGTGCTCTATGGATAAACATTAATCTTTGAAACAAGTTTAGCTTAGATATGATGGTTAGAGTTAATACACTTCTCTTTAATTACTTCTCTATATGGAATGTTAATTTACTTATTATATTTTATTCTTTACTAATAGATTTTGGTAAATTATCATCTCATATATATGCAGAAAGAGTTTAATTTTGTTAATAATAAAAATGTCAATTTTTATCAAAAGTATATGGCGAAAAAACCGTTCTAACTCATCTAATTATAGGATCTATGGTTCAATATTAAAAAAATAGCATACTATTGCTTTTAAAGTTTTTGGATGTCAAATCAGATTGTTTATATAATTATCAAGTCTTAAGATGCTCACTTGATTTATATGTTGCAACATATAGAGTGGTTGATATTTGCACCAAGTGAGATAAGAAGTTCAGCTGTTTTTTTATTATTACATTTTGTTGCATAATGAAATGCGGTTCTTCTAAATTTATCTTTTTCATTGATATTTGCACCATGTGAGATAAGAAGCTCGGCTGTTTCTTTACTATCATTACATGCTGCATAATGAAGAGCGGTTCTTCCATATTTATCTTTTTCATTGATATTTGCACCATGTGAGATAAGAAGTTCGGCTGTTTCTCTACTGTCATAATCTGCTGCAAGATAAAGAGCAGTTTGTCCATATTTATCTTTTTCATTGACATTTACACCATGTGAAATAAGAAATTCGGCTGTTTCTTTACCATTTCCTTTTGCTGCAAAATGAAGAGCAGTTCTTCCATATTTATTTTTTTCAGTGACGCTTGCACCATGTGAAATAAGAAGTTCCATTGCTTCTTTACCATTTCCTTTTGCTGCAAAATGAAGAGCTGTTTGTCCATATTTATTTTTTTCAGTGACGCTTGCACCATGAGAAATAAGAAGCTCGATTGCTTCTTTACCATTTCCTTTTGCTGCAAAATGAAGAGCTGTTTGTCCTTGTATATCTTTTTCATTGACAATTGCACCATGAGAAATAAGAAGTTCGGCTAAATCAGTATGATTCAAAAGCGATGCTACATGAAGAGCAGTTTCTCCATAATCAAACTTTTCATTGATATTTGCACCATGTGAAATAAGAAGTTCGGCTATTTCTTTATAATTATTATCTATTGCAATATAAAGAGCGGTTTCTCCATAATCAAACTTTTCATTGATATTTGCACCATGTGAAATAAGAAATTCGGCTAAATCTGTATGATTAAAACGCAATGCTTCATGAAGAGCGGTTTCTCCATATTTATCTTTTTCATTGATATTTGCACCATGTGAAATAAGAAATTCAGCCATTTCTTTTCTATTATAATCTGCTGCCTTATGAAGAGCGGTTTCTCCATATTTATCTTTTTCATTGATATTTGCACCATGTGAAATAAGAAGTTCAGCCATTTCTTTATAATTATTATTTATTGCAATATAAAGAGCGGTTTTTCCATATTTATTTTTTTCATTGATCTTTGCACCATGTGAAATAAGAAGTTCGGCTATTTCTTTTCTATTATATGACGCTGCAACATAAAGAGCAGTTCTTCCATCTTCATCTTTTTCATTGACATATGCACCATGTGAAATAAGAAATTCAGCTGTTGCTTGATTTTTAGATGCTGCAAGATGAAGAGCAGTTCTTCCATCTTCATCTTTTGCTTTAATATTTGCACCATGTGAAAGGAAATATTCGCAAATGGATGGTGTGTCAAAAATAGATGAATAAACAAAGCATTTGTTTATATCATTAGTTTGATCGTAATAAACTAAAAATGATTCAAGATTATTATACCTTCCGCAATCATTTAAGTTGATTTTAATATTGTATTCGTTCATCAAGAATGTGACGAAATCAATGTTGTGTGAAATAATTGCATACTCCATGCAATTTTCATCTGGTGTTTGATATTTCAAACATTCGCTCATGATCTCTGGATTTCCGCCTAAAAATGATAAACAAAGACATGTTTTTGTTATTTCTGGGTTAAATTTTGTTATTAATAACTTGAAACAGTCAACTGCTCCGTGGTAACAACATAATTCAAGTAATGAATATTCATTATAAGCGGAGGGATATAATATTCTATCAAGTTTTTGTTTTTCATCAAATCCGTCACTTTCAGTAAATGGGATGAATTTTTCTTTGTCATTATACATAATTGCTCTGTAAATTGTATTTTCTGTATGAATATCCAGATTTTCTGATTTATTTTTTTCGAAATCATAAGATTTGTCTAATTTAATTCCATATTCTTTATAAAACATGTAGTTAGAAATAGTTGGAATATTGTTGACCTCTGTTATATGATAATCATCAGAAATGAGTTTGGCTAGAGTCAAATATGACTTTGCATAACGATTATTATACGGAATAATGTCTAAAATATCTTTTATAATCTTTTTTGGGCTAAATTTCTTTGAATCAATCAGTTCTGTCTTGATCATTTTGTAAATCGAGTTTAATTCTTCTTCATTTTCAGTTTTTAGCTGATACAAGGCAAGATATGTATCGATGTAGTATTTAAAGTTATTTCTCAGTTCAATGTATTTGCCTGGGTGAATGTCTTGATCAGACATTAAAAAATTTTAACGGTCATGTTAATTTGCATTTTACCATATAAAAAATCTTTGTGACTCTTTATGAAAAAAAAATCTTATTTTATACATGACAACTATGATTTCAGATAATTTTGATTAAGTTATTATACACGAAATAACACAACGACAATTTTGAAGTCAAAAGAAATAAAATATTCATCAGCAGTTTTGCATTTTGTCATAAGTAGAGTTTATCAGTAACTTATCTCGACTTAAAACACATTAAGTTAGACTAAAAACTATATGGTTGAAAAAAAGGGACAATAGTTCACAAAAATTTGTATACATATCAAGCAATAAGTCTTAAAAATCGAATACTGAAAATTTCATCCAAAAGACCTATTTCATCCAAAATAGTAGGAATAACATAACAAGGCAAGCTCCAACCCAAGTTTCTCATTCAATGATAGGTAACCATTGGATAAATTTTGCGTTATTAGACTATTAGTTAACCAATGAGTACATCAAAAATACATCAGGGGGAACAGTCTTACCGAACACACTCATTCCATGAAAAATTTTCCCAATAAGTTATTATTCTTTTTAGTTGCTTGCTACACCTGATGTTGCTCTATTTTGCACATACTCATTCTTTTTCTTAATATCCTTAACTCATCTTTGCTATTTCCCACATATTTCGAAATATTTCTTATCTTTTTATCATAAAAAACTAAAATTTCATAATAAAATAGTTACAACATTTAAGACAGATATACAATTTACAATTAATTTATTCCTTGAGGTTTCGTTGAATAACATCGAGCAACGTTAACTCGAACAGCTGGTTTTGCCAGAGGTCTGAAAGTAGCTTGCTGAGCGACCACATTTACGCAATGGTCCATTAGCGGGCTGTTATTCTGAGTTCTGTGGATCTGAATTGATCTTCCTTGACTAACTCCTTCAACACTAATGTTAGAAAGCATCTTATTAGGCTGGGGAGTACTATTGGCTGCGGAAGGACGAGCGCGCATCGCAGTTTTCATCTCAAATGTAACTTTCATTTTTCTAAGCATTCTATAAACAGCTGTAGTCTCATCGTATACGCCTAAGAAAAGGTTTTGTCGTAAGTTCGTCGTATCCAATCCGTATCTTTCCATTTGGGAAACGATTTCTGGATCACAAGTAACTTCTTGAATTTTCTTCTGATAAGCGTATATTGCATCGTATTCTAGTTTCGAAAACCATGGGTGTTCTTTAATTTTATCCAAAGTAATACGTAATAATGGGTCTTTTGTTAAAAGTTTTTGTAATAAATCTGCCAGAGCAGGAGATATTGAAGGAGGATATGTCGGATTAGCATAAACGATAAGCTGCAAAGTTTTCTTGACGTTCTCATCATCAAATGGTAAAGAGCCAATTGACATCGCGTAAAGTAGAACTCCTGTGCTCCACATGTCTGCAGCAGGTGTGTATCCATATCCTATAATCATTTCTGGGGGTATATAGGCAGGCGATCCACATTTCGTTTCAAAAACGTTATTTTCATCTGTAAAACAGTTACTCAAACCGAAATCAATAATTCTTAGATTGAAATATCTGTCTAATAGTATATTCTCGGCTTTGAGATCTCTGTGAGCAACTTTTCGCTCTTTATGCAAGTATTCTAAGACTGAAAAGAGTTGTGTGAAATAACGGCGTGCAATAGGCTCGATTAGTTTACCATTCTTGTTGATAAATGATAAAAGATCGCCATTTGGCGAATATTCCATGATTAAATAATGATATTTTTCGTCTTCATAAAGGTCATATAACTCATTAATCATTGGATGATTCATTTGTTTCAGGAGATTAACCTCTCTCATAAATCTGGTAATGAATTTCTGATCTGTAAAGCTTTTTTTGCTGATAACTTTAATTGCGACGTCAATTTTAGTTAACATATGCGTCCCTTTGAAGACTGAGGAAAAGGCACCACTACCAATCTTTTCGCCAATAGTGTACTTGCCTATTGTTGGTGGTACTTGTATATTTTCAACTTCTCCCATTTCCTCTTTGAAAAATAATTTTTTTTGAATTATTGAAATTTATTACGCGTAAAAATATATTTGAAATTATGTAATGATTCCAAATATAACTAAATGTCATAAAAAATTGACAGTTGCTGGTTAAAATCCAATTCAAATTTATTCTAGTTATTCACACCATTTTGACGATAAATGAAAGATAAGTTATCGAATTTCATGTTCCCTCACAATTTCAATTTTGATGGGATTGAATCAATTTCAAAGAGACGAGCTGATAAAGCTGAATTAGTAACAAAAATCTGGATTGATTGTGAACTTTAGATTTACAGAATTGAGAGATTTACGCAATTGATTGTTTCGAATTGTAAACATTAGAAATGCTCTCAAAGATCGTTGATTTAAAATATATTTTTTTGTTGTTTATTTCATTCTATAGATTACACTACAACTTAAAAGGTCAATAGATTTCATATCGAGAAATTTCCTCTCAAAAGTTACCTTAATCAATTCGATTTTTGGAAGAGAGATTTGTAATCATATATAACAGACATTCATATTATTTTTATTTATTCAACTCTCGATAACTTTCAAACGGAGAGAGTGATTTCCAATTTTATGGAAAATGTCTTTCTTTTCCAACTTAATTGCTACCAGTTGCTTTAAATTCATGCGCAAAATACATGTAAGTGATCATTATCGAGCTGAGTGCCAATCAAAAAATTTCCTAAATATTCACTGTTTTTTAAATTCATTGTAAACTCGATTCCAAACAGAAAAGAGCGAAAATTTTATTGTTTTTATGAACTGTATCATTATTCAGTATAAAATTTAAATATATATTGAGAATTACAATAAATTTGAATTGATGCTGTTCATTTTCAACATGTGACATCTTTGGAGTATAATGGAAGCGATGTTGTTCGAAATTGATTTTTTACTTAATCAAAATTAGAATGATTCACATTTTACGTCACATTCTCAGATGTTCTTAAGTTGAAATCAAATACAACCATTTTGCAAATTATTAAAGTGGCACGTAATGCTTAAAACAATGATTTTTAAACCGAGATAAAGAATTTCTATCTTTATTACTAATCAAAACCATTGTTAAACTTGGGCCAAACGTAAGCTCGAAATGATTTTGCATGATGACAGATAGTAAGAATGTAATTGTAGCATAACGAAAAAAATCAAATGAAGCATTTCGTCGGAAAATCAATTTTTAAATTGCAATTTATAATAAAGTACTATTTCCTTTTCATACCACTTATTATTTAGATTCTATGGGTGTCAATTCACGCCAATAAATCAAAAATGAAGTAATTTGAATACTTTACAAAAACGATACAAGAATTTTTTATGACAAATTCTCCTCTCTTCAAACAACTTCCAGATAACTACTTACAGTGTCTTTGCTGCAGTCATTACTGTCAAATAGCTCCAGGAAAGCTTGGAAAGTGTCGTATTCGTGGTAACAACAATGGACAACCAGTTTTACCAACATACGGAAGGTATACAGTTGCTATTGATCCAATTGAGAAGAAACCTCTTCATCACTTCCTTCCTGGATCCAGTATTTATTCATACGGCACAGTTGGTTGCAATTTTTCGTGCCAATTTTGCCAAAATTCTAGCCTGAGTATGTGGGGCCTTGATATTGAAGATGTTGGCTGCATCCATGAAAGCGATATCGGCCGCCTGAAGAAATTAACACCAGAACGTGTTGTTAGTAGTGCAATCAAAAATAGTTGCCAATCTATTGCATCAACATACAACGAGCCTACTGTTTCGTCAGAATTTTCTCATGAAGTCTTTAAATTAGCCAAAGAGAAAGGCTTATACACAGTCTACGTCACAAATGGCTACGAAAGTGTTGAATGCTTAGATTATCTTGCTCCTTACCTCGATGCAGTCAACATAGATCTCAAATCCTTCAACGATAAGTTCTACATGAAGACCTGCGGTGGTCATCTTGAACCAGTTTGCAACACAATTCGTCGTTGTTACGCAATGGGTATCCACACCGAAGTTACAACCCTCATTATTCCAAAGAACAACGATAGCGACGAAGAACTTACAGCAGCTGCCAACTTTTTGGCGAGTGTTGGAAAAGATATTCCATGGCACCTTTCCGCATATCACGATGACTACAATTTCGAAGGCTTTGGACGTACACCTCTCGAAACCCTCAAGAGAGCAGCCGCTATTGGCAAGAAAGCAGGATTAAAATACGTATATATGGGTAATGTCCAAGCTCCTGAGGCCAGAGTTACTCGCTGCCCCAACTGTGGCCATTTACTCGTCGACCGCATCTGGTTCGGAACAGAAGTAAAGATGAAAGGCGGAAAATGCGAAAAATGCGGAGAAGTTGTTCCCGGATTCTTCTCAGATGCAAACAATCTCAAGCCAAAACTCACGAGAGTACCCGATCACCTCCGAAATCTTTCGAATTCCCCTGTTACAGCGAAAATCGAATCGAAATTACCTCAAAAGTTCGTTATTTACGCAACACAGGGCGGCACATCACAAGAATATGCAGAAAAGATTGCAATGCAGTTCGGAGTTGATGCATTTAACATTGCAGATATTGATCCAAATTCTCTTTCATCAGCAGACGAAATTGTCTTCGTCCTTTCAACCTACGGAAGAGGTAATCCACCTCAGCCTGCAACAAAGTTCTGGGAAACCCTTAAATCCACGGATATTGATATGAAAAACGTCAAATTTACAGTTCTCGGCTGCGGATCGTCCGGATACAAGAAGACATTTTGCGGATTTGCGAAATCTGTCTTCGAAAGGATGAAAGAACTTGGAGCACAAGAATTAGCTCCTCTCTGCACAAGAGATGAACTTGACGATGACGAAACATATCCAGAAGTTACAAAGTGGATCGATGCCCTTAAATTATAAAATAATATCCAAAAAAAGTGTAAATTTAAAATTCCGATTTCGAAATTTAAACTTTTTATAATATAATATAACAAAACATAACAAACATATTAAATTCTATTAATTGAAATCATCAAACAAAATATATAACAAAAATATACTAGGGACACAAATTGAGACGCGAAAAGCAAATTGAGAGGAAAAAACCTTTCAAAATTTTGTAAACTTTTGAATTTTAGCCCAAAAATCGCGTTCCTATTTTTAACCTATTCAATTAATAATTTTAGTTTAAGGGGGTAGGTTTGAATAGTTGTAAATTTTTTAATAAAATCACTTTTTCTCCATATCACGGCAATATTTTTGGACAATCATAAGTGTTATGAGCACAGTCATAGTCAGAGTAGGTACTGACAAAGTTTCGACGATCACACTATTCTACGTATGTTTGTCAGTTACTTACAAAAAAATTACTTAAAATTGAATCAAGTCATTAAATACAAAACTAGGGTTTGCGAAAATGGTAGAAATGATCATTGCTACTATTTCTTCATAAAAATAGGAGAACAGAATTTTAATACACAGCTTTAACTTACAATTTACATGATAAATTACATACGTTATTGCTGTGTATTAAAATTCTGTTCTCCTATTTTTATGAAGAAATAGTAGCAATGATCATTTCTACCATTTTCGCAAACCCTAGTTTTGTATTTAATGACTTGATTCAATTTTAAGTAATTTTTTTGTAAGTAACTGACAAACATACGTAGAATAGTGTGATCGTCGAAACTTTGTCAGTACCTACTCTGACTATGACTGTGCTCATAACACTTATGATTGTCCAAAAATATTGCCGTGATATGGAGAAAAAGTGATTTTATTAAAAAATTTACAACTATTCAAACCTACCCCCTTAAATAAAAAATAATTGTTTAGTCTAACAACGACATTCTTTTGGAATAGGAGACAAGATGATTTAAAGACTTCAAATTTTTTGAGTTCGTTATTTTGGTGATAGACAAATAAAATTAGAATATGTTCTATGTATCTTATAGAATTTTATATAAAAAATGCAGTTAAAATTTTCTGAGGGCAAAACTTTTTCGCGAATATTAGAATTTTGCCAGTTTTAATATTAAAAACTGTGCTAATGCATTACATTAATCAATATTATAGCAACAATTTGATTAAAAATTTTCTGAGGGCAAAACTTTTCCGCGAATATTAGATTTTTGTAAGTTTTAATGTTAAAAATTGTGCTAATATATTACATTAATCAATATTATAGCAAGTATTTGATTAGCAATTTTCTGAGGATAAACTCGCATTTGGAAATATTGAGATTTTTTATGATTCTCCAACAAAAATAAATTTGTTGTGCATCATAGTAGTTTATTATATCATCAATTTCGTTCACATGATTTCTGAAGATTATTGCATTTCTTGAAAAGTTGAATATTTTCACTATCTGAGCGTGAAATACTTTTTAATAACTGTAGTAATAGATAAAATTCATGTTTTGATGGCAAAATCCTCAACATAAGCATGGGAGAAAAAATTATTGTTGGGGCATTTTCTTAGGAGAGGGTAAATTTGAATACCATTCAAAAGTAAAAATTCACAATTTGTTCGATTTGGACATATAATCTATTATTATATATAATGTAATTAAGAAAAAAAATAAAATGACCTGCATATATTAATTATTTAGATTGCAAGATTCAAAAAAGCTATTAAAATTAGAGACTAAATAAATAGCGAATTGATTCATATGGATTTATGTAATTGTGAACATTAAAAGAGTTTATTTATTGATCTAATAAAAAAAGATAAAATATTAATGAGAAAATTGAAAGAATAGAGTGTCCCATTCACTCATGTTGGTCGCAATGTATCATTCTGGGAGACATTGCCTCTGCATGTCTCCCACAATGGCACAATGTTCCTTGGAGAAAGACCTGGAAGGAGGTCCTTTCTCAAGGTCAGGGCCCCCTTCTAGTCTTTCTGGTCCTGGAAGGAGCGCTTCTGACTGTCTGTGCGCTGCTTCCAGGAAGATCAGGAGATTGCTCGAAGTTCGCGGCAAGTGCATTCCGACACCACAGATGCACTTGCCGCAACAATAATTGCGAGTGTCTGCTGCTTTGGTCAAAAGAAGCAGCAGACACTCGCAATGCGAACCGAATTGTCCCAGAAAGACCTGGAAGGGGTCCTTTCTCAAGGTCAGGACCCCCTTCTAGTCTTTCTGGTCCTGGAAGGAGCGCTTCTGACTGGTCTGTGCGCTGCTTCCAGGAAGAACATGAGATTGCGCCAATAAGCTTATCAACAAAATTTTGACTAAAAATATAAAGTATCCTTTTGTGATTTAACGAATAGCTCAATTTTAAAATAGATTTGATTCTAATAATAAATTGGAATGAGTTTCGCTTACGTTTAGAATTTAATGATTTATATGATTTTTTCGTTCACAGAAGAGTCATTGATATCCAATATCAAAAAACAGCAAAGACACACCATAATAAATGATATTGAAGCTAAATATTACATATTTCAACATATCTAAAAAATTATTATAAGATTAGATCTCATGCAATGCCGAGCAGTTTCCTAAAGCATAATTACTTATTTATACAGAATCAATTATATAATATTCACATTGCAAATTATATACATTCTCACGAAGCAACATGAAATAGACTGTCCGAATTTGAATTCAAATAGAGATCTACTTCAAAAGGATTTCTTACAATATGTAATCTCGATGTTGATCACTGGAATACAAGGGATGCACGTAATTTACAAATTGTTGCAAAAATAGTAGTGCAACAAAAATTTTATTTTTAACTTGTCACTTGATATATAACAATTGCAAAAACTCAATCAAAAATAGGATTTGAACGACTTTTTAAAATTGTGAGAAAAATTCTATCGGCACATTCTATTCAATTTTAAAGTATTTCTTTCATATTCCAATCGATTATTCAATATTTGCCAATCACAAATTTTAGTTCAAAATTCAAAAAATCCCTAATTTTAATTTCAGATGAAATCTCGCAAAAATAACATTGTTTTAACCATATAAATATATATTTTATATATTGTATAGTGATTTTTTAATATTTTTATGAGTAAAATCGAGAGTGAGGAAATGTGGACTACAAAAAACGATAGAAATGAATAGTTTACATGGGAATTCAATACTTACAAGTATTCAATGTCACTTTTGTGCTCGAGATTTTGACTCTAGTATATGAGAATTTTTAAACGGCCAATATTGATCTTTGCATTCAAGTATAAAATTCTAGAAGCATGATAAATAATCGAAATGTTTCATATATGAATAATAGATATGATGCTAAAATACAAATTCTTTAATCAAATTGGAATATTGCGATTAAAAACTGTGCACTCGCGCATAATTTATAATAAAATAGGGATATGTGATATTCAAGGCTGTTATTTTTCAATCATTTATAAAAAATTCGGGATGAAACCACACTGATGCCGAATCTGTCATCAACAACAATATGAAATTGTATGAATCTAGTATAAAACCATATCTAAGCATTTGTACTTTAAAATGATATCAATTAAAATTTGATATAAACTAAATAATAAAGATTTCATATACAAGTAATAGGATTGTTATAGTAATAACAACTATCTAATGATTTCATATTAATTTCTAATTAAATCTCTTGAATATTTGTTTCAAAATTATATTTGGTCAAAAGAACGAAATAGAAAGAAAATCTACTCTATTTAGGAAATTAAATTTTTATTCTTTAGATTCGAATGTCTTTTGGATTGTCAATAATGTGATGAGAAATTCAAGTTCACATATAGAGATAATCTATTTTAAAATGTAATAAACAGAAATTCATCAAAAGTGACAGCTCTCAATTTTTTGACATTTGTAAATTCTAAATTGAATGAGAAAAATGAAATAATACTAAGCATAATACAATATTCTAGATTTAATTATAATTAGGAAAAAGTTAGTTTTGAGAGTACTTTTCATAGGCATATAGAATGAAATCTTCTGAAAAATAATATCACATAAACTCATATTATTTTTAATATATAACTATTTTATATAAAAATCAAATTCAATGATCTTAAAAGCGAAGGATAAACCTCAAAATTTACGAATATAATGAGTGGAATATAATGCTTATCTATCATAAAACCATATGAAATATCAATTTTTGCTTTACGCCTAATTTTTGACGACAATTAGCAAAAAATGTTAAATGTTAACACTCAGTCCATTTGAATATGAAAAATAAAATTGACTTTGATTAAATTTTTTATTTATCATGCAATTCTTCTTGCGACCAAAGATTTGACTAAAAGTTCAAAAAATAAGATAGCTTAAAAAATAATATACGGTAGTGTTTACTAATAGATGAATAGTATATAAATTCTATTAAAATGGATTTGATCCAAAAAAATATATAAAATTTGATCATAAATAAAATCGTTTTAAATTACTTCTTCATTTAAATTATAACAATTATTTTTGGTTTTATATTTTTTTGGATCAAATCCATTTTAATAGAATTTATATACTATTCATCTATTAGTAAACACTACCGTATATTATTTTTTAAGCTATCTTATTTTTTGAACTTTTAGTCAAATCTTTGGTCGCAAGAAGAATTGCATGATAAATAAAAACATTTAATCAAAGTCAATTTTATTTTTCATATTCAAATGGACTGAGTGTTAACATTTAACATTTTTTGCTAATTGTCGTCAAAAATTAGGCGTAAAGCAAAAATTGATATTTCATATGGTTTTATGATAGATAAGCATTATATTCCCACTCATTATATTCGTAAATTTTGAGGTTTATCCTTCGCTTTTAAGATCATTGAATTTGATTTTTATATAAAATAGTTATATATTAGAAAATAATATGAGTTTATGTGATATTATTTTTCAGAAGATTTTGTGTTCTTCTTCAAAATTTTATTTTTTTATTAAAAAGAATCTTTACAAAATATACATTTACTTTAATTAATATTTAAAAACGTGCTCTATCAAAAGTTCCAAAAATTCAATATTTTAGCTTTTCTGAGGTGTCACTTTTGATGAATTTCTGTTTACAACAAAAAACATACCTTATTGTATAAGAATGATAAATCTCTATTTATATTAGTTAAAATACGATAGTTTTATTTGAATGGGGTAATTCAATTTTTTCTGAAAAACCGCGCGTTCCAAAAAATTTTTCAACAATACCAAAATAATTTTTTGCAAATTTTCATTGATATCTAAAGCATTATGATTCTTTGCAGTTTTTATACATAAACTTCTTGAGCTACGTATCAGATTTTCTAATCTTAGATAAATTTAGAAAATTGAGATTTTCTTTCGAAACATTCATCATCACATACTGTGTACAAAGATAAGACTGCATGACGCATAGGATTCTCATTGATTTTTTGTTTCTTTGAGTTATACTGTAACTTCTGCGAGTTTTTGCGCAAGTTGGGCTTTTTCGATGTTTAAATCGTTCAAAATACGCTCTTGTTCAGCAGATTTTTCATTTAATTCTTTTTGTAGAGATTGAACTTTATCCTTGAGATCTTTGTTCAAATTTGAAGCATTTTCATATTCGGTTCGTTTCTGAATCAGCGTACTATCTATCTCACTCATATTTTTCTTAATATCTTCTAATTGAGCATCAAATTTCTGCTTAGAAATGCTTTTAATTTCATTGATTTTGTCTGTGAAGGCCTTTTCAAGAGGAGCGAACTTTGCTGCTGCTTCGAGTTTCTTTTGTTCAGCTTCAGCTGTTTTAAGTTGCATCTTTTTAATTGCTTTTCTCGTTTTCGTAATTTCATTTAATACATTTTCTAATTCATTCTGTACATCTGCTTTTTCTTTCTTTAAAGTGTTTAGATAATCATCTTTGTCGTTGTATTCTTGAGTTTTTTCACGTATACTGCGATCTAATTTGTCAATTGAATTATCTCTTCTATCTTTTCTTTCTTCTAATGCCTTTATTGTACTAATTTGTTCACTTACTTGGAATTTGGCTTTTGACCGTTCATCCATTATTTGATCTAATTGATATTGTAAATCTTTTAGAGATTCTTGCAATTTGTCTATCTTATTAAGGTAATTCTTCTCTTTTTGAGCGAACTCTTCCTTGAGAATCGCATTTTGCTGTGATAATGTTACTGTAGTTGAAACTTTTTTAATGTATTCATTTAATTTTTCAAGTTCAGAAGTAGCTTTAAGTTTTTTGGCTTTTATATCCTTGCACATCTCACGCTCTTGACAGTACTTTTCAACAGCTGGACGAAATAATTCTTTAATTTTTTCTATTTCTTCTAAAATTCCATTATTTTCTTGTTGCAAACTATTATAATGATTAGAAAGTGAATTATATTCTTTTTGTAGTTCTTTTGATTGATTTGTCTTTGAAAATTGCTCAAATTCATTCTGTATATCGAGTAATCTTTTCTGATTTGTAGAATAAGTTATCTGAATTTGTTTCCTTTGGTTTATTAAATCTGTATTTGCTTTTTGAGTTGCTTTTGCCAATTTAATAATCTCTTCTTGAGCATTATTCATTCACTGTACGTTTAAAAATTTTCCTTTAAACTTATAGGAAAGAAATTATGAAAGGAGATGAATCAGTGTACAGATACTCTTCAATTTTACTTTAAATTTTTTGGAAATATGCTCAAAATAAATGTGCAATTTGCAAATGATAAAATCTGGAAGCCGACATGAATTTCATGCGTCTCTTATTCCAAAATTTCCTTCTCGGAGAATATTGATAACAATATGCTGAATTTTATAAATTACCATTTAAATTCGTGTATATTGTAGAGAAACCACATATAAGATTGTATTGTATTTAATGTGCAATACAATTTTTGATGAAAATGAATATGCGTTATGGCAAATTCGAATCCAACTTCAGATAAAAGGGATAATAACTTAAATTATTGAAATTTAACAAATATAACTTCCGTATTATTAGTATTCTTAATTTATCAACATGAAATCCTATCAGCAACTTTGTTTTTATCGCCCAAAAATTTTTATAAAGTATGACAATGAATCAAAGTTATAAGAAGGAATTTGTACTAAAAGTTGATAACAGAAATGCAGGAAAATCATATCTGATGACTAGGCGACAGAAAAAAGGTGATAAAATACGATATTATCTGTATACCGAAGATGAAGAACAATTAATCTTAGCCGGAATTCATGAAAACAAAACAGAAAACTATTTAGTAGCTACTAGTGCAATAGAATATAAAAAAGATTCGGAATTTTACGTCGGTTTAGTTGAATGCGTTTCACATCAAACAAGTTATCTTATTCATTCACCAGATTCAAAACAAATTAAAGTACTTATGCTAGGAGAAGGTCGTTCTCCTCATGTTTTTTTAAATCCTGATCACATTACAGATGAAGAATTACATTTGAGACCTCAAGTTAATCTTAATTGTAGCAGCGACTTAATACAAATATCTATGCTAAAGAAAGATAAAGTAGTTTTCGATTTAAAACAAATATACAAAGATGAATTTAAATTATACTGTACAGAGCCGCTCACGCTTTACGAGAGCTTCGGAATCGCAATATGTATATGTCTAATACAGAGCTAACAATATAAAACAAAAGTAATTAAATAATTGAGGATTGCTTTTGACCAAGAGGCAAAGAACCAACGCGAGTCGTTTTCCTAGGTAGAGATCCCACTCTATTTTCAAAATTATTCTCTTGCTTCGATGGTTCTTCTTTCTGTTGGGGCAATATTATCTTGAAAGGAAGCTTATCAATATTATCAGGAATAGGGACTAGTTCAACATCGAATAATTCTATAAACTGTTCATGTATGCCACTAGGTTTACCGTTACCGTAATAGCGTCTAAATTCGTCAAATATAGCTGATAGAGCCCATCGCTGTACTTTTCTAAGGCACCCAATGACAGAGCCTGTTCTATGAATACCAAGATTGCAGCAGACAAGGACTGGATATGAATCTGGATTTAAAATAATTTTTAATGCGTCAAGCGCAAGTTGTTCTGAGAACCTCTGACCAGCAGCCATAGTATCAGAACTAGCTAAGGCGCAAAAGTTGACATTCTGTTCTTTAATAAATTCAAGAAAAATCGAAGATGGTTGATCTTGTGATAGAAAAACAACTGTTTTGAGTCTGAGAGTTTGCAAAAATGAAAAGTTGGATTGAGTTGGTAATGCTGATCTGTATAAATCGTTTTCCACGAATCCAAAGTTTGGTGGTGGAATAAGCGACATTATTTTAAAAAGTGACAAAAATAATCGTCGGCATATCAACAAAACTCATCAATCTGACCTATTTCAAGTATCGATATGTGTGTTTACATGCATATCTATAGCTATATGACCTTACAGTTGAGACCATCATTGTTTTATTCTTATTTTTTTCAAAATTTTCTAAATTGAAGTAAAGAACTGTAATTATTTGCTTGTATGTACAAAGATTTATGCTTTTTGGTTGATGCCAAACAATTTTGGTATAAAAATTCTTAAATTTAGAATAAAATTAGATATTTTTTTCTTTATTTCATGATGTTATAGATTGCTGCTAATCAAATATCTCAATAAATGTCTGATGTATGCTTATTCTCATATTCATTTTAGAATATTTTTCTTTTATTAATGAATTGAGATTTTTATTTAGATTTCATGATTGAAATTGTTTGATATCCATCAACATCAGTTGAATGAGGTTATGAATTTTTGTGTAAGTTGTTGATGGGAATTAGTTTGATAATAATTTTCAAAGGGGAAAAAAATTTTTTTATCAATGCTTCTCTAATGATGGCATCACAAAATCCAAGGCTTAAAGTAACTAAAATAGAAAAGTGCAGTCAACCTAAAGCACCAGGAGCGCTCAGATTACTTTGTTTCAGTGATACACACGAAAAACATTTGAAAATCCCACCACATCAAATAGTTCCATGCGATATTTGCATTTGTGCAGGTGATTTCACAAAGTTTGGTGATCCAGCTGAAGTAAAAAAGTTTAAAGATTGGTTCATCAAAATTCCTGCACGATACAGAGTACTGATTGCAGGTAATCATGAAACAACATTTGATGTAGAACGATATGGTCGTATGGTAACTCAAATGAGAAAAATCAAAAGTGACTTACCTCGAGAAACTGCAAAATCTATTGTCCAAACCGACGGAATCATCTATTTAGAGAATGAATCTGTTGAAATAGAAGGCCTCAAGATATACGGATCCCCTCAAACCCATTACTGGGAATTTTGGGCTTTTTATTATCCAGATAAAGATGGTCCAAAGGTTTGGGCGAAGATACCACACGATACAGATATCCTTGTATGTCATACATGTCCACGCAGCACAATAGATCTCATGAGAGGACAACATGTCGGTTGTAAATCACTTGCTAATGCAATTAAAGAAGTACAACCATCATTAGTTATCTACGGACACCTCCATGAAGGATATGGAGTTGCTAAAATAGGAAAATCTGTTATTGCAAACGTATCATTGACAAATCTTGCAAGAAAACTCGCAAATAGACCAATGATATTCGATGTATCATTTAAGACACCAGAAATACCACGCCCTCTACCAAAACAACCCGAAGAAACCGAAATTCCAAAAGATGAATAAAAATTTTAGAAAATTTAATGAATAAAACGTCCAAATCTAGCAAGTAAAAGTATAAATTTAATAAGAAAATATGTTTTATTTAAAACAAAACAACAAAATTTCGGATTTTGTCTAAATTTGCGACGAAATCTATGCCTAGATGCTTTCTATGCAATAAACATATTGAAAACATCATACTTTCCGTTAAATTTTAAGATAAAATGTCCGTCTAAATTAAAATCTGGCCAAATTATGTATTAATTGTTTGCCTTGCTTGAAAAGAGATAACTAGGGCATAGTTAGTATATCTGCACGCATTAGATCATAATAAATGAATTTCATGATTCTTCATCGAATTGTTCATAAATTAATTCGATTTTCTGTATCATATCATCAGATGTTGTGTCTAAATTGCACAAATCTTCAAGGTCATCGATTTTATCCTCAATAAAACTCATCCATTCTTCATCTCTTTGATTTGTAATTCCACAACCTCTTAAAGTAAGTAATATCCTTACGAATGTGGAAGAAATCGGGGAATTACCATTTAATAGTAAACATTCAACAAAATTTGAAATGATTTCTTGATTGAAGAAAAATTCATAATTTTCAGGAGAAATAGAATCAAAAATAGCAGAAACAATCAAAATTATATCTGTCTTTCCTGAAGAATGAACGTTTTCATAAATATTCATTAAGTTTGGAATATATTTCATTCCAAGTTCAGGAAACATCATCATTAGCTGTTGTGTGAACAAAGCAAACTGACTAAATAATGTTGAATCAGTAATTGTTTGTATATGATCTAATAAATTCGAAATATCTGGAATACATGAGTCTAAAAGCTGTTTTTCTGATGCGACTCGCTGCAAGAAGACTGCTGCTGCAGATTCTACTTCTAAACTGTCGGAATAAATCAAATCATATGTCATTTTGATTATTCCATATTTATTTCCAATTCCGAAATCGAATAATTGAGAATCAATAAGCTTGGTACATATAATGCACATATATCTTTGAGAAACAACGTTTATGTCTATCAATTCTGCATTGTCTGCGAAGGTTTTGATTATCTGATAAGATTGATCGGAAGAAATGCTCTTTGTAGCATAGGAGTATATACAACATATTATATTTTCAAATGATTCATCTCTGATCTCTAAATTCGCTTCTGTAATGAATTGTGAATAATCGCAAATAAAATCTAAAGAAAATGTATGGTTTGCAACTTCAAATGCGTTTTTATCATTAAGTAATATCCGAACTATTCCCAATACATTCGGAATCGCTGTAATAAACTTTTTTGTCTGCAAATATCCAAAAAGTATTTCTATAAACTCAGAAGATAGTATTTCGATAATATCAATGTTTGAATACGAAAGCATTACGTTAATTATTCTTGTAAAATTATATATTTCGATTTCATTGATTTCGATGTTATCGCTAAGGAGATTCTCTAAGAATCCGACTATCAATCCAAAATCTTGAATTATATCATGTAATATTGTTTGATCTTTAAAATTTTCTTCATCAATTAGAGAAAGATTGTTGATCGCATCAATGATTAGATTTAGATCTTGTTCTGATATACCTTTAAGTATGTTGTGAATATATAAACTGATATTTTCTGTATTATTGATGTTGGTCGAATCTAAAACTTTGTTTTTTTCAGCATCATTGCTTTGTATGTCTTTATAATCATCATCCATACAAATAATTTCTGCTTACTGTTCTCTCAATCAAAGTCTTTTGTCAGTATTTAAATACTGATTTTTAAAAAATGAAGGACAATGTTAGATTTTAAAAATGTATATATCTTAAAAGAGAATTCAAAAAAGATTTTTATATAACTTTATGGGATAATTTCTGTAGAATTGTTATATGGTGGATAGTGGAATTCGTCGAGCTTGATTTCGCCAGATTTGATCTTCTCCTGAGCGAGTGGAAGGATCTTTGTCTTAATCTGGTTAAGTAAGTGCTTGATTGTAACGCAAACTTCGAGTAAACCTTCTTCATTCCACCATTGAGTCTGATTGCAGTAAAGGCAACGTCCGCCGCATTCAGAAAGGACCTCGCATGTATCGCAAGGAGCTCCGACCTTCTCGATGTGAGCAACTTGGAATGGAGTATCAATCTTTGTAATATCACCGAGAGACTTGTATTCTGTAGCAATTGGGCATGCTGTGATATCTCCAGATGTGGAAACATTGAAGGATTCCCAGCCAGAAGAGCATCTAACTGTTTCATATTTTTCTCCAGTGAGATATGACCAGAGAATGCCCTGGATAGGTACAATACCGAGCTGGCGGTTCTCCTTGAGTGCCTCGACGTATGCATCGACAAGCTTTGTAACGCCTGGGTTGTATCTCTCATCGCGCCAATTGAAGAAGTTCATGCCTTCCTCGTATGTCTCGTACTCGTGGAATGGTGGTGTATCCCACTCGACGTTGAGCTGCCAGTGGACATGATCGAAAAGTGGTTTGTCGCCGTGTTGAAGATTAAGAAGGAACATAACATCATCATAGATGACGGATCCTGGGCCGACTGTCATTCTTGCGATGATATCACCCTTGAAGCCGCAATCACGGGCATCACGAGCGTTAGCGATTGATCTTTCCCATGTATTCTTACCTCTGTTAGCATTTGTACGATGAGCATCACCATCAACGGATACTAAGATTGTATCCATCTTGAGGAGATTCTCTGTTGGGAGTTTGTGTAAGAGTGTTGCATTGGTCTGAAGAACGAATTTGGCGTCTGGAAGTAATTTCATGATTTCAATGATTCTGTCAATACGAAGAAGAGGTTCGCCACCATAGAAACATAAAGCAAGATCCTTATCCTGTTTAAGTTTCTCAAGTGCTTTGATATCATAAACAATATTCTTTGGAATAGCGATAATATCTTCGATATCCTCGTTTTCATCACTACCACAATACTTGCATGTGAGATTACATTCTTGGGTGAGAGTTACGAACCACAGCATTTTTTCAAAAGGGTGGAACGCCAAATTCAATCGAAAATAATCGTCCAGATTTTCATGTCTTCCCTCTCAAATTTTACGATTTTAGGGAAAATGTTTCAATGGAATTTGGGAAATTCGAAATCCTTTTAGATGCAACCAGTTGAAAGAAATGAGACTATGAGATATGTATTTCTTGCGGAAATCATATTAATGCAGTGATTAAACGTGATTTTCTTTGGAAAATTTCATATTGTTAACGGAGAATGAACAATACGCTACAGTCTAAATATAACGATGCAACTAAATCTGAATTTGATATAGATAAGCCTATAAATAGCAGAGGGCATTTTGTCATCGAGGTATTTCCGACATTCTAGAATGAAGCAACCACCCAATATTACATTTTATTGGGTTTGTTAGGAATTGAAACAAGATAATTTGATTTGTTATGTTTTTATGGTATATCTTAGATTTTTTAAAATTTTTATGGGATTTATGACAATTTTTATACATACCATGAAATACTTGGGTATAGGAGTTATAATGCAAAGGTTGCTATCTTCATATGACATATTTTGAGAAGAAATTTTCATTTTGCAAAATTTATTTTGAATATAAACGTGGTATTGCAAAATTTTAATGAAAAGCATGTTTGCCATATGATATTCTCGAATTGTAATTGGAATTGACAACGAAAAAATTATTTCTCAAAAATTTAATTGTGACGATCGATTAGAACCAATCGTTAGTATCATATATGAATATATTTCATGATAACACATCATTTGACTGTGAAAAACTGAATTCGGCCAATGAGAACACAATTACAATTGCAAAGTTGGCAATCATATTTTGGAGCTTGTTATTTGAGCTATATGCTAGAAATATGATAATATATCATAGGGTTTAAGCAAATACCTTGATATTGAGGATAAAGGAATTTTGAGACTCAAAATAACCATCCTAAGATTGACTGTTTAATTTCATTGTACATATGTATCTGTGCATTTTTTGCAATTAGTTTTTGTAAACCCTAGCAAAATATAATCAAAAATGACGCAACTCAGTGGATTTTCTGAGTTAATGCATGGTTCTTCTCAATTTTAACAGTGATTGAATTCTGAGTGACGAATATTATTCAAAGAAATATGATGGGAATGCATCCTTTGGTATCTACGGTGATGTAGAGGGTTCTTGAATAATTGACCCATCCTTTTTATCGTGTTTATGAGAGCATTGAAAAATATTTATAAAATATTTTGATGGCATTTAATGCGAAAAAAATAATCAGGATCTTAAATAGAGTTTCAACAAACCTTCGTTAACTTATTTTAAAAGTTGAGTTCTTCACAAATTTTTGGAATACAGTTCAATGTTTTCAAAATTGCAAAATATCAAATATGATTATACACAGTAGGATCTTTAAAAACTATAAAAAATTGAAAAATAAGGCATTGAAATTGAAGGATGAATTGGTCGAAAATTCATAATTGGCAATTTGAATAGTATCTCAAAATTTGTTAAAAAATATTTCAATACGATCTTAACAAGGATCTGCAAAGTCTTATTTCGCACGTGGATTTTGTTTTATTTTCATATCTAAACGCATCTATGGAATCAGCTAGCGCATTCCCTCGATTTTCGAAAATATCATATTCACATTCATAAATAGTCACAATTCTCTTATATTAATAATAAGCTCAATACCCTTAAAAAGTTGGCATCTATCCTCTTTTTACCAAGCCTTCGGTTACAAATTTGTAAATTGTAGCCTTTAGCCTGGACCATCCCCGAACATGCTAATAGCATAGTTTTTATGCCTTAACACAAATCGGAAATGTTAAAAAGAAAGATAGTTGTTTATAAAAACAAAAAGGTAATTAGAATGGTACGAAGAGGGATTCTATCGCATCACATTCTGTGGAGAAGTAATAATCGAGTTCATCTTTGATTGTGTCGTCGATAGGCTTTGCTGGAAGTTCTTTTGGAGTTGTAAATTTTTCGATAATGTCTGGGATCTTATGCTTACACAACCAAACCCAGCGATTCTTAATGGCAGTACCTGTTCTACCATTAAACATAGGTTTCATTTGTGCCCATTTGTTCCCAAGTTGCGAATGAAGTTGAATTAATGTTGTGTCTTCCTCGGCAGTCCAAGGTTTGCAGTTGATATCTGGAGATAAGTTAGTGAACCATCTCTCACGGCATTGCTTACTTGTCCTACCGTGGATCTTGTTCGCTACAAAACTCCAGCGATTTGTCCCATTCTCCGCCACGAGTCTTATTAGCAATGCATCCTCCTCCTTGGACCATCTCATCTTGGGGCTGTGATAGTTATCTCTTGGAATCGAGTACATCTTCTCTGGACGGTGAATAGAAAAATAATACAGAAATTGAGATCTCTCTCAATCTTAACAATATTCAAATAGCTTTTGAAATGATTTGAAAAGCATTGAATTTTTCTGAACCTTGATATCATGAGTTGAATATTTACCAGGTCTTACATGAAAACATGATTTGAATTAACATGATTAATAGTATAGAGTAAGGATGTCAATTTGGAAGAAAAGTGAGAAAATTCATAAAATGCTAAAAATGAATTTCCAAACGTATTTTTTTTATCTGATTTTTTTGATTTTGAAAAAAATTTGGAGAGAAGATCTCTTCGTTTTTGAATTTTATCACGATGGTTTTAAAGTATATTAGACACATGTATTGATATTACTATTTTTGTATATTTTGAGAGAAAATCCCCAAAAAGTAAGAAAATCTAAGACGGTTTGAGAAAATATATAAACTATTGAAAATTTGAATTAAACTTCTAATTTGGAAAAAAGAAATTTGGAAAGAAGAAAATTCAAAAATCAAGATTTAGACTCAGCATCAAATGGAGAACAAAATGTTTTTTCATATGAAGGAAAAAAATTTTCTTGAGAAGAAATAGAGTTTTTAAAATTTTATTGTATGTAATCAAATAAACAAATATTAAAATTATTTTTTGATAACAAGAAAATTCCCAACAGAAAATATTTGAGACAAAGAAAAAAAGAAAATTGAAAAATATTACTCTTCTTTATATTTCATGAGATTTTAAATTTATTCTCATAAAATTGACAATTTTATACGTTTAGATGAAAATAAGTGATTTTGCTTGAAATAAAAGTTATTGTTTGCTTACAGCTATCAAATATATTCTTGCTACTTTGATTAAAATTTGTTAATCAAATTAATAAATTTTTTTCTAAATATCTTAAATATCTGGATCACTCACTGATACAATGAATTGAACGATAAAAATAATACAAACTCAAATAAGTTTCCTGTTTTTCAACTAAAAAAAATTATGCAAATTAAATTAAATTAAATTGTTTATTCAAATATAAAACAAAGATGAAGTAATTACAGTTATCATAAACTTTATGAATAACTCTGTATTTGGTTCAGATTTTCGTAAAAATATTTTTATTAATATCGATAAGAATACGTTTACCTACTATCACAACATATCGATAAACAAGAGTAGAGTGATTTTTATCATCGAAACTTTTTAAAAGCTGTAAGCTGGAAGTAAAAATCTTGTTTTTTCTGAGTTAGTTGTAGAACTATTGATGCATGAGTTATCATTGTGATGTAGAAGGATGTCAATGTACTGACTGAAGGATATGAAGTGAATTGAATTTCATTGAATTTCAATTTGATCAAAATTTGTTGAAATGATATGAATGTGTCAACATCTGTATCACTCTCTTTCACTCCTTCCCTATTCTTTCGAGAACGAAGCTAGCTCAGCTTTCGCTGAGCGAATTGATACTTTTGATGTCCTAAACGTACATATTCTCAAATTTATCGAAAAAATTATACCACCCAAACTAGTATATTCTTATTTTAAATATGATATTATCCTTAGAAATCACACTAGAATATATTTAAATCAACTTTTAAAAAAGTTCGAATCCTGCGCGTCTCACTTTTTAAATTTTCGAAAAGGAAAATTATATTCTCCTAAAATGAAAACAATTTTCCGAATTGACATCCTTATATAGAGTTGAAAAAACCCTGAAATCTATGAATTTTGGAATATCTCCATTCATGACAAGTGAGTCTCTACTCTAGAAATTTAAGAATAATTTATTTGGATTATTGATGAGAAGTATACGATTACTGGGGGTTCCCCGTCCCTCGAAAGCCAGTTTTTTATTTTTTTGAAAATTATTAAATTTTTGTTGTTTTTTTCCAAAATTTTAAAGTGAATTATCCCTATTCTGAATGGGGAATTCAAATGTGAATTTTATTTTAAAATTGACCGTAAATTTTCACTAAAATTCAAAGGGCGAATTTTTTTATATGTTTTGTTGTGTTTTTCATATAAGTACATATTGCTGATATCAGTAATATATGAGTTAAGGAACGGCATAGCGATAATATTTTGTCAGGAATCAATTGATCCTCCTAGAAGAATTTAACCATATGAAATGGTATTTGCAAGCATTGCTAATGCCGATTTCACATGTTCTCATATCAGAAGTCGATTGTTTTAATCTCCGATCTTTTGTCACTTTTCAAATAAATGCAAATTGATCCAAAATCACCTGATACATATCTTGCCAAATTTGAGCAAATTCATGAAGAGCATAACAAAATTCAAAGTGATCTTGAAAAATCTGATGAAAATTCAGGTGTAGATACGCTTGCTTTCTTTGAATCAATCAATCAGGCACAACTTGATCTCACCAGATCGCAAAAAAATATTCATATTGGAGTCAGAAAGGTTGAAGAAAAGTGGTCCAATACCGATACTATCCCAGAAAGACATAAGACATATATTTCCGCTATAGAATTTTTCAAGCACACCGAATCAACAATCGGAAAGGTTTCTAATCAAATGGATAAAATTATTGATCAGATCCTTACTCCCCCAGAATAATTTTTGCAACAATCATTTTTTTCGGTTCAGATTTCTTAATTCACCTTAATTGTACAAGGAAATCGTGTGAAAGATTAGAATTATCATTCTTACCTGGAACTGAGCGAATAATATTTTTGAACGTTCATACAGTTTCAGTTCTCAACTGTACAGCAATGAGAATCTCGAATAGCTTCAATATCTCAACCTAAACATATTGATCATCCTTCATAAATGAAGTTTACAATTGCTTACCGAATAAGAAAGTATACTCTTACCTGTTGTTAATAAACCATCATACTATCTATCATTTCTTAATTTATTTAGTTGATGTTTTACCCGAAATCTATGATATAAAATGAGAATATGAGGTTGATAAGGGTTATGCAACCAGATTTTACGCTTGATTTAGCTTTGTTGGTATGCACATGTTATTGTAATCGTCTCTAATTCTACTTTTCCATTAGAATATGTTTGTTTAAAAATAAATCCGTTTACCGATGATTTTTGTGTGTTTTTGAAAGATGTTGCGGAAATATTAATGAATATCCACTGATATGGGAAATGCAGTTTTTTGTTTGTTTTTTGGTGAGTTTATTCGACATGACATATGAATACTTGACTGACTCTGAGAATGAAATTTCTTGTCAAATTTTTTTCACAGCGGGATGTCAACTCCTCAAGCACAAGTGTCTGAGAAGACGCTCCCTGTGATCATTCTTGAGAAGGTTATTAGGCTTGCGAGGTATTTTTATCAACAGCTTGATATAACCCTTCCAATGGCAAGAGCAACAGGAATGGTTTACTTTAACAACTTCTATCAGAACAGAAAAAGTGATGAACCACAGTATGCTAAATATGCTGTCGCAGCACTATATTTAGCCACCAAAATGTGCGAATGTCCTCGATCATTAACAAATTTCGTTAAAATTGTTTACGAAACTATAACTGATCCGAGCCAAGCACATATATTTTCTGGTCTTGATGGTATATCACCTCCTAAAGATGAAGAAGATTATGTCGGAGACCTGTATAAAAGTTTAATTAACGCAGAAATGGATATCATCACACATTTTCACTTTAACTTCGAAGTCAAGCTTCCTTATACATACTGCGAACACTACATATCCAAAATTCTCTCCTGGCATTTAGAGCCAGATTCAGAATTTTATCAGCCACTCAAATCAGAACTGACATCATATTCATGGATATTCCTGAACGATTTACTATTCACCCCTGAATTTTATATCAATGATCCTGAGCTTGTTGCCTTAGTTTCTGTGAAACTTTCTTTTGATCGAATCCAGCTTCCATTAATATCCCCAGTGTCGCAAACATGGCATAACGCATTGGCTCCTGAATACTCCGCCGACCAATTTTCGAAGTTATTCGACGTTGTTAATACATTTTTCGTTGAAAAGACTTTGGCTGCTAATAATCAAGTAGTAGTTCGTCGTAAAATTCCAATTCCTGACGAAGTAATGACAAATTGGATTCGTTATCCATTTGATGAAAAATCTTTAGTTCCATTGTGTCCTCCTCCACCAATAAATCAGCTAAAAGAGTTCATTGGAGATACTCCTTACTTTACGAACCTCGACGCCAGCCATTTACCGAAATACGAACCTAGAGCTAACTTTGAATACGAAAGTTTTATTGCGGAAGTTAATCAGATCAAGGAAAAGTACAAAGATGAATATGCCAATGACGAATGGTTCGCTCCGAAGAAGAAAAACAAAAAGAAAAAGAAGAAAAATAAAAATAAGCAGAAAGCGGATGACATGATGCTTGATCCAAGAGAAAGAAGTCCTCCAAGAGATTACAGAGAACCTTATTATGACGATAGACCTCCTTATCCAAGAGATCGAAGACCTCCACCTTATTACGATGACAGACCGCCTTATCCAAGAGATATGCCTTACAGAGACCCTAGGGATAGAGATTACCCACCGGAACCTAGACGTCCTCCTTATTATTACGATAGATATTACGATGATCCTTATTATAGAGGCAGACCTCCACCGCCGCCACCACCTCCTCCTCCACCACCTGCTTATAGGGAGAGGATGCCTCCAATGTACAGAGATTATCCTCCTCGAGATCCTTACTACAATGTGCCTCCGCCACCTCCTCGTTACCCAGATAACAGAGATAGATGGGGTGATCCTATGTATAGGCCTTATTAATTCAAATTTTCAAAAGATTTCGGATGAAAATTTTTCAAATGAATGAAAATTATGTAACAATATGTTTGTATTATAAATAATAAAGTATTTTATGAGTATTTAAATATCAAAGTTCTTGTTTTATTCAATTTTTATATATTATTAATTTAAATTTTCAGCTATTGATAATGTTTCATATGAAAAATAATTTCTGATGAATAATATTTAGAATTGCGCGTTTTTATTTTTCCAAAAAAATTACAAAATTCTCTTTTTCATGAATAATTCTTCAATTTTTCAAATTATTTTTAAATTTTTGAAAAATTTTTGGAATTCTTTTACGGTATATTAATCAATATTTTATTAATTTGAGCACGAAAACATCTTCAAATAGAGTTTTTAATGTTTTTATGCAAACTCATGTCACTTTTTATTCATGGAGGAGTCATTCATCATTTCTCCAGGGAAAGATCACGAAATTGCCAGAGATTGCCTTGTTCGCGTAGAAGGCTTTAGTGTTATTTCTGACGTATCAGACAATATCGGCAAGAGATTAAATATTTTTGCAGAGATAAATACTAAAACAAGAGACAAAAGAGAAGTTCATAACAAAATAGTTATTGCATCATTGATTCTCGGTAAAGATTGGGAGCATGAGGCAAATTTAATGTTTTCACCATCTGACAACGCAACATTAACTTGTGAAGGCCCTAATGTTGACGTTCAGTGCATTTATACACAACACGAAGCATGAATTTATGCAGTTTATATAACGTTTATTTTTTCTCAATCTACAAACAAAACCATTGACTGATATATCAAAACAATATCTTTACTAATGAATTGTTATTATTTGTTACATAAATATATTTAATATTTGTTAGATTTTTTACTTTTCTATATAAATTCTAATAAATTACGTTAATTTCGCTGTTATTTAATTCATACTCTTTTCCATTTACGATTTGTAAGGAATTCTTTTCAAAGGGGAATGATTTTACTCTGTTATTCGTGTACTTTATTAACTTAACGAGAAAGTTCTGCAATGGTTAGTTTCTCATCCTAAGTTCCTATAAGTGTGGATATTTTGATTCACATTTATCCTATAAAGTAATTGATAAATATATGAACAGTAAATTGTATTCATTTTAAGAGAAATGAGATGATAAATTTACATACCAAGCCTTCAAAATAGATTATGAACCAATATAATGATCAATTTTACATCGAGATGAAAATTTTTATAAGATCATTCTTCCAGTTCAAGAGAATATGTCTCTTGAACTTTCAACAGTATGTACTTATATCGTATTCCATACCTAAGCGGATCATGGCAAATCCGTCCGTTCTATCGAAGTCAGGTTCAAAACTCATTATGAATTAGCTTGATATGCATCACAAATTAACAATTTCATGGAGTTACAATTCATTTCATTGCACCGTTTGAGCAAAGATTACCAAACGCATATTTCATAGAATTTTACTGAGAGTAAAAATGCTATTTTTGGTTTCTTATTGACGCATCATCTCTTGATTTTATTTTTATGTCAAATTTGAATCCGAATATGGATCACAAAAAATATGAAATCCAATTGAAAAAAATTCTGAGGGGGCACAAACTTGCCCAGTGAGGTGAAGTGAAAAGTGACATGTTTACATGTCAGAAATGTAAAGTGTCAGATTTGAAACAAAAAATGGATTAATTTATTATTATATGATAGAGAGATTTGGTAAGTTACTATCAAATTTGTAAGTAAGGGGGAGAAAAAAAAGTAAGAAAGAAAAAAAATTTTAAAAAATAAAAAGCCACTCGCTTCGCTCGCGGTTGACAAAAAGAACAAATTCGAAAAATAATTGTATGAAATTACGAAACTAAGCCACTCGCTTCGCTCGCGGCTTAAGAAAAGAACAGATTCGAAAAAAGATTGTATGAAATTACGAAACTAAGCCGCGAGCGAAGCGAGCGGCTTAAGTAAACAACATATTTCAGATTATCGATACTAAAAATTTTTTTATTTTATTACATTTTTTTTGCATTTTTTTTAAGGGTGCACACGAGAGGATCATGTAAACTTCAGAATTTAGAACCTTATTTTTAGGCATTATCTTGGCTACCTATTTAGGCTCGAAAAGCAAAAAATATCAAAAAATACAACTTGACTCCATTATGACCCTTTCATGGAGGTAGTTTTTATCCGCTAGTATTTTCCCTTTGAATCTCTTTACAATTCGAAATCAAATTCAAATCTCAGTAGAAGAAAGGAAGAATCGACTTACTACGGTTGTAATACGAATAAATACATATATTTAATTATTTTTATTTACATAATAATTGTTTGAAGCTCATATTCCAACAAATTTTTAAATAAAAACATTAAAATGTTGAAAATGTTCATATATTTTAATAGGGTTTTGGCACTTTATTGAGGAATTACTACATACATAGTCGAACTGAACTTGATATTTTGAAATTTAAATTATTTATCAAAATTAAAATTTAACTTGAAATTTATAATTATTTAGTCATATTTTGCATAATTCTAAGTAGATTTTGTAAAAAATCAAGAAAGAAAAATTTTAACGTGCTTTATTTTTTCTTTTTTATAATAATACATATTATTATATAATTAACATATTCATAATGTTTCACCCTTTCAAAAATATAATCCTCCTCCTCTCAAATAAACGTACATACGGGTGGCCTCTTTTTTCAAAAAATTAAAATTTGAAATTTTGGGCTCAAATATTAGAGATTTTTTCAACCTTCAACGATATATGTTGTCTATATCAGACCTCCTTTCTTTTTGATACTTAACATTGTTCCTAAATCTTAGCCGTTAAGGCTATAGATCCAAGGTGATGTGATTTTTGCATCCCTGGGATGGACGATACACCCAAAGTGTCACCTTTTTTGGGATAACATGAATTTGAAATATCATGAGAGTTCTGCAAACCATATGCACAATATCTATTCAGCCTGACTTCTTGTATATATGAGTTAGACTTCTTAAATATTGTGCTTGGGGCGATATAAGCATTTCCGAGATTACCATCGTGCTCTATAGTATGCTACTTCTCCCTGGTTCTAGCTCAGTTCCAAGGATATTGGCGTTCAAGGATTTGGCAAGGTCCTTCCGAAGTCTCTCATTCGATGAGAGATTTCGGAAGAATCTTGCCTTAAAGTACTCCAACTCTTGTTCTTTTGTTCCTAAATAGTGAGAAAAGTTATTTGACTACTTAAGGTAGAGATTATCCGAGGTCCCTCATTTGATGAGAGGCCTCGGATAATCTCTGCCTTAAAATTGTACACTTGTAGTCCATGAGAGTGTAAGTATACATTGATAGGACAGCTTTCTTCTGAAGTCTTAGATTTGATGAGAACCTCAGAAGAAAACTGTCCTATTTTATAGTAAAAGGAGTTTCAGGAGCTCCAAAGCTCCCTTTCGTAAGGATTAGGAGCTTTGGAGCTCCTGGTTCGTAGATGTGTTTCGCATCTTTCATCAGCAAAGGACATTTACCATCTGGGACTCTGTTGATGGAGACTCAGGAGCTCCAAAGCTCCCTTTAGTAAGGATTAGAAGTTTTGAAGCTCCTGGTTCGTAGACGTGTTTCGCATCTTTCATCAGAAGAGGCCCAAATGGTAAATAGCCTCTGCTGATGAGCTTCAGGAGCTCCAAGGCTCCCTCTCGTAACGATTAGGAGCTTTGTAGCTCCTGAAGGTAAGGTAGGATTGCTCTGATCTCTAATCAGTAGATGCCATGCCTCATTATGAACTCTACTGACAAGAGATCAAGAGCTCCAAGGACTCCCTTTTGAGTTAGTGGCGTTCTCACCATTTAGTAGGATTGCTGATCCTACTAATGAAGTGATCACTTAGTATACGTTTTGAATAAATTGAATTTTTTTTAGAATTTAGTATTTTTTATAGACATCACATGTATATTATAAATACATAAATATATTCTTTAATTCAAAAAATTCAATTCGGTTTTGGGATGGGTATCCCAGCCCCAAGTATTCAATTTTATTCAATTTTTAAAGAATTTTGGGTTGGGATGCCCAGACCAAAACAAGCTTTATATTTTGATGTGTAGATACGTATGTGTGCATCATTGTTGTGTTATATATTATGTTTTTAATGAAAAAAAATCTGATTCAAAAAAAATTATCACTAATTAGTTGATAATATAAAGAAAAAATAGATAAATTGTATGTTTTGAGAGTATTTATCCACATTCACTCATATGAATTTCATTAAATAGCGTCTTTTTACTCCCAAATTTATTTTGAATTATTGAAATCAAAGAAAAAAAATTAGAAAAATTTCTCGAAATTTTTATTTTCAAAAAAAATTTGGATTTTATATTGAAAACTGACACTGGGAGGACGATAGGGCTGGGATTGGAGATACCCCGCTCACTTGGGAAAAATACGGATCTATAGTTAAGGCTGTTCTGAAAATATTTTTTTTTCGAAAAAATTCGAAAAAAATTCTTAAAATTCAAAAATCCTTTAATTCCTGAGGATTTTGGGAAAAAGTTTTTACATGAACATGTGTATATTATATGAAGTATATTGATAAGGTAAAAATCAAATTTTATTGCATATTCATCGAGAAAATAAACTAACGAATCCCTCAAAATTGAGAGGGTAATCCTCCTCCTCTCAAATAAACGTACATATGGGTGCACCCTTAAGAAGCTAAATTCTGAAGTTTACATGATCCTCTCGTGTGCACCCTTAAAAAAATGCAAAAAAATTGAATACTTTACTGGCTGGGCAAATTTGTCACCGCCCCAAAAATTCTGAATATTCGAAATTTGAATTTGAAACCAAAAGCAGAATGTTTTGGAACCGGATGTAAGATAATAAGGTAGAGGAGATATTCCAGATTAATAATACATGTGAGAGTTTCTAATAGTCCGTCAGAATATCTTATTTACATTCGCTTTTCACCGATAGACAAAAAAATAATCGCTGTGCGCTTATTCAAAAAATGCTTCCTTTCAATTACGGCACCCAGTGGAAAGTTGTACTCATTGGAGCAGCCAGCTCTGGGAAGACATCAATTCTTAGACGTCTTATATTCGGATCTTTTCCTGATGACGTTACTCCTACACTCGGAGCTGCTTTATCTACTTATCAAGTTAAATGCGGTACATCAACAGTTAACATGAACGTATGGGATACTGCAGGTCAAGAAAGCTATCGCTCACTCGCAAAGCTTTATTATCGCGATGCAAAAGCAGCTGTCGTTGTATTTGACGTTTGCTCCATCGAATCTTTCAGAGAAGTAGAGTTTTGGATAGGAGAACTCGATGTTTCTGAAACATTTGGTCATTACGTAGTAATTGTTGGTAACAAAGTTGATAGACAAGAAGATCGCGTAGTTAGCGTTTCAGATGCTCAAGCTCTTGCAGAGAAATCAGGAGCAGCTTACTTAGAAGCCAGCGCAAAAACTGGTGAAGGAATTACACAAATTTTCGAAAAAATAGCAGAACATTTTCTTTCAATATCGAAGAACGAAGGAAAAGCCGATCAGCAACGATTTGCTCCTAAGAAAGATACATCATCATGCTGCTAATTTTAGATATATAATTTGTTTTTTTGTTTTTAAGCGATATAGATAAAAATTAACTACTATTGTATTGATTCTTCTAAAAATAAGTACATTTTTATAATTATTTTGAAAAATGATTAAATTACAAATCTTCCACAGAAAAATTCGATTCTTCTTCAGATAAACCTTTAGGAATCTCTAAGACAATAGGTTCGTTAATCACAGAAGATCCCTCGCTGTTTAATTGAAGAACGAAATCTGATTCTTCTTCATCTACAGGAATATCCAAACGATGCAACTCGGAGCTGTTTCCATTTTCAGCAGGACTATCAGAATCCTCTTCTATTTCGGACCAATGGCCAGGACGAAGGTTTTCTGCTTTTGGAGAAACGTTCATTAGAGTTCCTTTTGGATCTTCAGCAGCTTCTGATGATCCAGAACTTAGGTTAAGCTGAGCCTTGAGTGCTTCCAAATCTGCCTTGGATTCTTCTTCTTCCATGATGCTATCTTGTTGACCTTTGCTTCCGTCATTCTTTGGAGTAACAGAATTGTTTTTAGATGGATGAGACTCGTTCTGTGACTTATTTGATTGTGGTGTTGCCTGCGCGCTCTTTGAAGGAGATGAAAGAGTATTATCCGTTTTTGGAGAAGAAGAATTAGAATTGGCAATGCGCCTGATTCTCTCATTGAATTCATCAGAATCAAGAGCGTCAATGTCTGGATTGTAAGGAGGAAGGTGATCATCTTGAGCAATGATATTATCAGAGCTAAATTCTCCACCAACAGCTTGGGAACTTGCAACACCACCTTTACTGTTGGAATAAGCTGAAAGTGTTGAATTTCCGCTTGCTTCAGGAGAGTAATTTGCTTTAATATTTGGTTTTGTTTCAGGACCATTATATTTTAATGGACTCTTTCGACTACCTGACTCTTTTTCTGCCTTTGGAGATGATGATTTTGATGTTTTTTCTTTTAATTTATTCGCGCGCTTTTCTTGTGAAATACGAAGTTTTTTATCAGTTTCATCGATGCTCTTAATTGATTCCTTTGTACTTGGTGACATTCCGGATTTCTCATTGCTGACGTACGAAATTGTTGAGATATGAGACTCTTCTTCCGATACAGAAGATCCATCAAGAGGTAATCCTTCTTGATAGAGGTGTATTAATAATTTAAGACTAGAAAGAGCTTCCTCAGCACGTGCTAAATGCTCCATTTGATGAAAAATTGTTTTTTATCAAAAAAATCGTTTAATTTTTGGCGCCTATTATTATTTTGCGCTAATTTTGATGTCATTCTCCCAAAATAATTACAGGTCAAAATTTTATTTAATATTTATTCTCCAATTATTATTTCAGCATTACCATCATCGATTCAAACCAACTTTGTTAGCTATCAAACTCATGAACACAATGCCCATATAAAATGCCTATCATTCTCTTAGTTTAAAACATAAATCAATTTTAATCTCATATGGATTTGAGTTAGAGAACAAAAACATATTCAACTAAATGCAAAAGTTAGAAATAGCAGAAATCCTAACTGCATTCGATATAAAATGAGATGAGTGTTGCAATTAATGCAAGGAAGAATGGTAATTACTAATTTTCCATTCCCTTGCCAGATTCCTGGAACATGAACAACATTATAAAATAGAAATCCAGAGTTTTTATCAAAAGAATATTTTTGGGAAACAGCATTATTATAAAATTCATCTCTAGATTCAATCAAACCATCATATACAATAGAATCTTCAGTCAATGCCCAAGAACTGCCACCACCACATCCACCATTGATATAATTACTTGAGAACCCTCCATACCAGCCACCACCGCCACCGAATTTATCGCCTAGATTACAAAATTTTTGCACACCGTTCGGGTTTCGCGATTTTTGTGGCGAGGCAGCTTCTCCTGTTCCAAAAGTGAACCCAAAAGTTGAATTAGCGACGTAATCATCGACATAGATTTTTTCTGTCCACCAACCTTGGGTCACAATACCTCCACCAGAGCCTCCTCTTGAGTCATAACTGTTAATATCATCAGCTCCACCACCACCGCCGCTCACAATCACTCGATTATAGAGAGAGTTATTCAAAAACATGACAGATGTTTGGCCACCGCCGCTCGCTGATCCATAAGGATGTCCACCAGAACTCCCACCTCCACCATATCCGCCAGGGACCATATTATCCTTATTGTAGCAAGTAGACAATGCACATGCGGTATTTTTCAAATATCGTCCGCTGCCGCCAATAGTAGCATAAATTTGTGTTGCATGCCTAAGAAATATGTCACCGCGCACATAACCGCCCGCACCGCCGTATGTAAACGAATCATCACATTTAGTATTTCCGTTATAAAGAGAAACAATGCTTTCTGACAAACATTCGCCACTTTTGTTGTGAAATGTAGACACTTGTCCACTATAACTCCCTCCAGATGCACCATACAATTCAAACCGATAACTCCCTCTCGGGAGTTCGATCGAATACTCAGTGCACTTGGCAGAATCCTCACAAGGATAGTTAAAAACATATTTTTTGTTATCATGTGCAACATTCAGCGGATATATAACATTGATGCCCTGCTTTCGGGCATCATATAAGGAATACTTGATTGACAACTAAGCAGCCTTGCATTATGAAACCTCAGACTCAATATTGACTTATTATTGGATCAAACAAGATGCGCATACTTCATGAAAAATAGAGATTTTAGACTATAAACCTTACTTTATAGAATGATTTTATATTGTCAGATGCATTCATCATGATCTTACTCAAGATTAATCTGAAAAAATATCTATAAAACAAGTCTAATATACATAAATACAACTTCGGACATGCTATATACCAGCAAGAATTTGCTACAATATAGATGAAATCATTGCATAGCATTGATCTTAATCTTATACCCTATAATTCCTGGGTTGTCAATTTTTTGGGGGCCTATGGAGAAATTTACTTTATCAATAGCGCACCATAAATTCGAATCCAGAGCCTATAATTCTAGAAGTAGATGAAGGTACCCTAGAATAACTATGTGGTGTAGTTTTTATTGCTATTTAAGATATCACATAAAATATATTAATCAAATAATAAAAATTTCAATAAAATTAAATAATTGTTATTTTTATATAGAGTAGATATTATTTCTATATTTAGATCGAAAAAATAAATAATTCTGAAGTACTAGTAATATTCATCCATGATGATTTATTTTTCAATATTATACAATAAGAAATATATTTATAAGTTTTTTTGAAAAATGTTTAAAATTGAGAGATCAAAATTTCGATTTGTGAAAAGAAATCATAAATCAAATATGTCCTAATTTTTGTTTTTATTAGGGTATACATGTTTTATACTCGAAGTACGGTATGTTGTTGTTTTTTTATTCAATAATTAAAAACTTGCATACAGGTCGTAAGGTGTTGGAATATCGTACACAGAGGTTACGCACATGTCTAGGGCAACTATTTGTTATGAATGAGTGTATTTTAAAAGATTTGAAATATCATAAGATTGATCCAAAATGGCATTATAATAAAAAAAAAAAAGGTAGTGGGGCCTCCAGGCACTTCGTGCCCTCTAGCCCTGAAGATGTTTAGTATAAATGAAGTTTATATTCGGAGGGCCTCCAGGCACTTCGTGCCCTCTAGCCCTGAAGATGTTTAGTATAACTTTGTCCGGACAAATAAGGGTCTATCGTCACTACAGGAAAAGTTACAGGCGTTCCAAGGAAGTATACTTTGAGAAGCCTTTTCTCCATTTTAAAACAAGATAGGACCGTTATTTTACAAAACTGACAACACTTTGACCGGATAGTTTTTTGTGCTAAACAAAAAGTGTCATATAAACATCTGTCAAAAACCGTTTTTTACTTCACTTAAAATGCCACGTAAGCTACGTAAGAATATACGTAAGAGGAAGAGAGCATTGAAACATCCAATAGTAAAACTGACACCACAACAACAGTTGCAACAACAAATGATGAATGACCCCACTATGTTGCAACAAATGTCAAGCAACCCTATGCTTTTAAACCGAGTTATTGGTGCACAGAGTGGAGGTTTAAGAGCGGCACTTTTAGCGAAAATGGCAGGCTATGGTGGAGCTGCAGACGGAACAGCTTATAACCCTCAAAGTCAAATGAATTTGAGTTCACTCAAAAATCAAATAACAGATGTCAAAAAGTCAAACATAGACATACAGAAACAAATAAGTGAAAACGAAAAGAAACTAGAATATGACAGACACACAAAGAAACTCAATGAGTTAAACGTAGAGAAAAAGAAGAAAGAAGAACAACTGAAAGAACTAAGTACAGAGGAATATGCGAAAAAAGTGTCAGAAAAAGCAGCAGAAGTAGCAAAAATGGAACAAGATGTTATAAATTTGAAAAACCATACTACTCAATATAAAGTACTGAAAGATGAAGAGATAAAACAAAAAGCCCTGAAGACATATATGGATAGCGATGAGTATAAAAAAGAAGTTGAAGCAAATGTAAAGGCAGAAAAACTTTTACAGTTGCAAAACCAAACCGTACAGTATGAAAACTTAGCACAAGAAAGTAAAAATAACGACGCAGCCATGCAAAAGGCAATGAAAAGCGCAGAATATATAAAAGCTAATAATGACTGGTTAGATGCCCAAGCCAACGCCAAAGCAGCCCAACTTATAGGGTCAATAAGGACAAAAATACAAGCGGATGAAGACAGTTCAAATGAAGCTTTAATGAATGCTGACTTTAAGAACGCCTTCGAAGCTCTTCATAGTAAGGTGAAACTAGTGAACGACTTCTCATCTGGAAAGAAACTGAAGTCTGAAGGTTTCGACAACGAGTTAAGAGAAGTAGCACAAAATATGACGAAAATAACAGATGCAGCAACGAGACAGGCAGTTCAAAGTGCCTATGACGCCGTTAGAGCAACTGTTGTGGAAAGTCAAGAAAAAGAGTTGCAACAGACCAAAACAGACCTAGTAAATGCTTTCTTAAAAACGAAAAGTCAGGTAGGACATTATGCTGCAGATGGAACATATGTGCCAGCTGGTGGAACTTATATACCACCAGATGAGGTACAAGAAACTCCACAGGAAGAAGTTCAGATACAACCAGACATGGAAGAAATAGTTCAGCAACAACAGCTAGAAGAGCCTGAAGGAAACGAACAAGTCCCTCCTTTGGAAACTACAGAAATAAATGACGCAAGACTGAAACGTTGGGTAAAAGCTTTCCCATTCACAAAAGATATTATTGGTAACATGGAAAGAAAACCAGAATGGCTACAAAAACATATATTTGGAAACGAGCTTATTCCATATGGACAAGCTCTGTTTGAAGAGCTTGAACCGGAAACTCAGGAAAGAGTCATGCAAACAATACGCGAAGACTCAAATACAAACTATGACAAAATCTTTCTAGGATATAGGTTACCTGAGATGGGCGACCAGAGCCCAAAGGCAAAAAGGACATGGGAAATTTACAACATACTAGGTGAACATGAGGCAAAGATGCAACAACTTGAAGCAGAGGGCAAGTTACCAAAAGCGACACCAAAGAAGAAGAGTAGAACAAAGTGAAAGTAGTGAAGAAGTAATTTCATCTAGTGAAAGTAGTGGCAATGAAGGAAAAAGAAGAGTTAGAAACTCAGTCAGGAAGAAAGTAAAGCTTGGTACGAAACAATTATGACAAATAAATCCAACTATTCTATATTTTTACCCATATGAAATGTACGCCGCTCAGAATATAACGCCAACAGTTTTGGATGCCATGAACGGAAATGTTTCCGAATGGTATAACGAATGCGACAATGCCATTAGAAGGTCAGAAATAGTTCCTGGAACTTACGAATATACAACTACTATTTCTTATGGAAACGTAGGTGAGTTTGGAGAAGGTTCTTCAACAACAGTAGATATTGCTTGCGACAGGTTTCATATTATTTCTATTGACAACTCATTCTTATACGTGGAACAAGACATTGAAATAAAACCTTCTGCCAAGTTGTCTGACAAGAAAGGTTGCAATGGAATTTTCTATGTCGGATACCAATATGCTCCAGAAGTTTTCATGGGATATAAGATATATTCTAACTCTGACTTAGTTCAAACAGTAACATGGGCAAACTATGAATGGTTCGCTTTGAGAAACTCAGTACAACCACAAGCTAGAGAACAAACAGACCAGTATGCAAATATTGAGAAAATAAGAAGACTTGACCCTAACGTTCCAGGAGTTTATGTTAACCTTTCTGGTTCAGATGGAACTGCTGCCACTAAAGTAAAACTGAAACTTAGAGTTCCTTTGTCATCTTTCCTCATCTTCAGGTTTTTAAGATACTTGCCAAACTGGGCAGGAAAAATTTCTATCGAACTTACTCCAAGCAAAAATAACTTAGTCATTGCACCAACACAAGACCCATTCAGCATTACTGTAGCTGGAACTGGTGGAGCCAAGTTCTGTGACTTTTGCAAAGACAAAGTTGACTTAGACTTTGGTTTCTCAAACTTCAACAATGAAGTAAACTATTATTTCAATGCTGCTGGAACTGCTTGGGACCCAGTTAAGTTTACATGCGAAAAGTTTGAATGCAAGAGAATAGAAAGCAGACTTGCAGTCTATATGTTGGACCCAGATATTTCAAATGCTTTAGCTGCCAAATATATTGCAGTTCCACTTATGTTCCCTATACACCAAATATCTGTCAAAGACTTTGCAGGTGAAGTTGGAAACCAAAGTGCTGACCCAGGTGCAAGAACAGATATTGCTTTAACAACTGCAATGAAACATGCAGATACTATGTTTGTACTGTTCAGACGAACTATAAATGACTATTCTTGTTTCTACAACCCCGGTATTAAATATCATATAAACATAGATGGCAAATATTATCCAAGAGAAGAATATTCTACAGTTGAGGATATGAGGTCATACAACTTGACATTAGATGCTATGAACTTTAACAACAACTTCACAACAACCATTAACCCTGAAATGCAAAGTTCTATTATGCCATATGTGAAAGTATGGACTCATACAGGAGGTCAAAAAACTCAATATACAAATGGAGACCGTTCAAACTTTTGGCTTGGCATTCCATTTGCTGACTCAGAAGACTTTATGGGTGGTATTTCAACTGTTGGTACTGTACAAATACAATATACTGGTGACAGAGACGGTCCAGATGAACTGAGAGCAAAGAAGTTTACAAAACCAATAGCACTTTTCACGGAAGATGCTCTTTTGAAGATTCGTTCGATGAAACCTGCTGGGGCTCCTCAGATTGGCATAACGACAGCTTCCATCGAGCAGATTTTGGCAGCAGGTCAGTAAGTTGTTCTTGAACTGACTTCTCTCCGTCAAATATTGACAGTACGCCAGTTTTGACATAATATTGTAAGATAAACTTTCCTTTAGAAATATCTGTAAGTTTTGAAGTTATATTTTTGTCAACGTCAAGAACTTTCACCATCTCGGTTATACCAACTTTCTTTGCTTTATGGAAATATTTTGGTTCAGCAAATATTGCTATTCTATAACATTTACCATTGTTTGTATAAAGAACTATTCTGTCAATGTATTTGTATTGTTTGTGTGTGTAAACTTTGTTCTGCTTCAATTCGAAGAGATACTCGAATACGTCCATCTTTTTATTCTAAGTAAAATGTCATTTCCGAAAATAGAAGCGTGAGTGTTTCAAAAGGTTTATGGCGGTGGCAGATGTGAAGTTAAATTCACCAACTCAACAAACAGTCAAAGTGTTGTTGTCAATGTCAAAGACAGAGATGTTGAAGTGGGGAAACCATACAAAGACGAACATGGTATAACAATTGTTCCTGTAAAAGAACAACCAACATATGAAGTTAGCAGAGACTTAAGTTCTGTTGCAGATATTCGAAACGACTACCAACAACTGAAAGACAAACTTCAAACTCAGGAGAAGATTTGTCAAGCTTTAAGTATAATGTTAAACTTGGTCGAACACAACCCTGTAAAGTGAACTCATATGTCATTGCCTCATGAAGTCTTGAAAGAACTATTGAAAACTTTTGACAGAGGCAGACGATATAAACATCAAAGAAATAGAACCCGACATTAGTTGCTGTGGTGTTTCATATAATGTCATGTGACAAGATATACGTTATGAAAGGAGGTGAAACGTTGAACTTAAGTATAGTTTCCCAGACGTCATAAAAAATTTGACGACCACAACATTTCATTAAAATTTATTTGCTAAGTAAAATGTCAAAACTTCTTGAAAGATGTTTGAGAAAATAATATAGACTTTATTTCATGTAAAGGACTTTACACACTTTTGAACGATATGAAAGACCCTGTTTTGTTTGTTCGTGTAGACAAAGGAAAGTTCTATGTCTTTACAAAATATTTGAACTTCTTAGACAGAGAACTTCAAGAAACGCCATGTGAAAGTTTAGATGAAGTTCTTCTCCACTTTCAGAAAAACTTTTAAATATATATAAATGGCAGAAGATATATGTTTATACTATTACGACTAAAAACCCTGGGTCATATAATTCTATAACAACAAACTTACAAAGTCCTCAAGGACGGTATTGTAAACTAACCTTAAACACAATGACGACTAAAGCCTGTTTGCTCTTTTGACACCAGAAGACTTTATTGTTGTGAATGGTAAAAAATACTCCTTTGAAGATACTTACTCAGATATACCACCAACAGGTTTTGTTGACTTATTTAATACTTTAAGGACGGGTGTAACATGTGCTGCAACTAGAGCAGGTTTCATTATGTTTGGATGTCCGACTGAGTTTACTATAAACGATATGAGCTTAATACAAAACTTATTTCTGGTTTTTACTACCAACAGTTTCCTATAACAGGAAAAGGTGTCATACAAGGAATGTCTATTCCATTGACATTAAGCACACCAATCTTATATTGTTTCAAACTTAGGTTCAAAGTGTTATTCGAATGTCGACAGAAACTATTATGACCAAAAGATACTTATGCGTATAAACAATACTTTCTCTGCTGGTTTGCCTATTGTTCATTCGAATGCAGAATTTTCAACCTTAGTGAACTCAAACACTTTGGCAAGTATAACGTTGACATTAGTTGACGCAAACTTTGTTTCCTGTAAACTTTTATGTCCTATGTATTTGTCAATGACGGCAGAAAGTTTCGAATTGGAAGATGCAACTGGTGAAAGTATTGTATTACAAGAACAACTTCAACAACAAATAGCTCAAGAACAACAAATGCAACAAATGCAACAACAAAGTCAAGAATAAAAAAAAATATTTTTTTATTTTTATAAAAATGTACAGAATAGATGTTTCAGATTTTTATGACTTCCAAGCATTCAGAAATATGTGTCCATTTAGAGACTATAACAAAGCAGTCGAGAATTTGAAACGTTTAGTCATTTATGTTGACTCTGCCCCAGAATGTTATGTCATGAAAGAATGGGATGTTGTCTTTAACAAACCAAGAGCAACAATAGTTTCAGAACAAGAATGTAGACAGAAACTTAAGAAAATAAAAGTCGTACAAGTTGGCATGAAGATGTTAGATGCTTGGGATATCTTATTGTCAAAGTTAGAAGATTTTTTCAGTTCGAGGTATAAAGTTCTATACACCTTCTCCAAACTTCTATTCTATCTCACTGGATATAAATACGAACAAGTAGAATGGAAAGAAAATATTATAGAAGCTTGGTTAGACCATGTCAAAGAAATTATATGCAATGGAACGAAGAGTCTATGAGTATATCTTATGTTGGTTTGCAAACATCTCAACATCCAAGTGCTAAAAATGAAACTGCTCTCATTATAATTGGAAAACAAGGAACTGGTAAGAACACATTCTTTACAGATATTTTGTGCAAATCTGTTAGAGGGCTATTCGAATCCGAATATGACAAACTTAGAAAACATCTGTGGCAAGTTTAACTCCTCAATAGAGAATATGAAACTTATAGTTTGCAATGAACTTCAAAGTATAGATACAACAAAAGTTTTGAACTCAGATGCTTTTAAGAGTCTTATAACAGACAAAGTTTGGAGTTGTTGAAAGAAAATATAAAGACCAAAGAGTTTGTGAAAATGTTGCAAACTTTCATTATGGTTTCAAACAATTCTGTTCCGATGAAGTTAGAAAGTTCTGACAGAAGATATGTAGTTGTCAGAACGTCAGAAGCTCATATGCAAGATACAGAATATTTTGACGACTTAGCAGAAACTTTGACATCTGACTTTTACAACCACTTGTTCTCATACTTTATGACATTAGATATTTCTAAGTTCAATCCAAGACAAATTCCACATACCGAAGAGAGACAAACATTGTTAGAAGCAAACAAGAGTGTATATGAACTGTTCATAGATGAAACTGACTTTGAGTGTTTAGATGAAAGGTCATTGTACGATTCGTATAAACAATATTGTCAAGAATATGGTTATATGACAGCGTCTAAACGAACATTCTTGGCAAATGTCAAAAGTCTTTTAGACGTACAGAATGGTGTATATACAAAGAAAAATTTTTATGAGTAAATTTTTTAAAAAAAATATTTTTTTATCCGATAGAAAAGATGGCAAATTCATCTCAGTAAACAAGTACATGTCAGGACTTAAAGAAGAAGACTAGACCCATTCACATATTTGAATGTTTTACTTCTACCATTTTGAAAAGTCTTCATTCAGCAAAGTTTGGAACATCGAACCAGTTAAGTTTGCTATTGTGACTAAAAATGGTGCGAAATTTGAAGACTTAGACATAGAAGGTTTGTTAGCAGTCAAAGAAAGTTTGACAGAAGGTTCTCAACCTTAAAGAAGGCAAAGCATACAAACTTGTTATACCTTATGAACCAAAGAAAGCAGACGACTATGAATATTATGAGTCTAAGATAGTTGAAGTTCAAGGTAAATTGGGTAAAAAGATTTTAGAGTCTAAGCCAGTGTTTGCTCCTAAAGAGGAAGAGAACATTGACATTGACCCAGAAATGTTCTAAAAATAAAATTTTTTTTTACATGTCAAATTTTTTTTCTCTGGAACTGGTTCAGATTCTTTCTTCTCTTCTTCTACTTTCTTTTCTTTCTTTCTTCCTTCTTCTTTTCTGGTGGAGTTATGTCAAATTTGGCGCAACTATATTTATGTAAAAGTTCTTTGTCCTTTAATAGCTCTTCTATTCTGTTTTCTATTTCATCTTCAAGAACAGCGCATGTGTCTTCTTTGCATTCTAAGAACTTTTGTTGGACTTCATCTTTCCAATCGGCGTCAATCTCTGTCAACAAGTCTGTCATTGACAAATTTTAAGACTGCTCTGCTTAATGTTTTATGGTTCTTGTCATATTCCAGAAACAGAACTTTAGAACAAATTCACCTTTCTTGTTTACACTATGTAAGATTTTATGGTCGACAGATGTTTTGCTGTCGAAAAGCTTGTCTCGAATATAGATAGCGAAATCGCTAGACATTTTCTAAAAGATAAAAATTTTAATTTTTCTAAAAATATGTTAGAAAAAAAGTTTGCTGACATTGACAAGAAATTTGAGAATGTTTTAAACAAGAACAAGAGGAAGTTAGAAAATGCTCAGATAAAGCCTATACATGACAAGTTCTTATTTGCTCAGAATGGTATAACAGGTCTAATTGCACCACCTGGGTCGGGTAAGACTTTCACTTATCTTAAAATGGCTGCACAACAACAAGAACTAGATGAGAAGAACCCATTCTATGAGTTAGTTGTCATTTGTAGTACTTCTGGTCAATTTGACCAAACCGTCAATTCGTTCAAAGATATTATAAAGAAGTCTAAGTTAGTATGTATAAAGGATACTGAGTTGTTAGATTGGATAAAGAAGTACCAAAGAAGAGTTTTGAAGTATAATGCTATAAATGAGTATATAAATTCTAAGTTTAAAGACCCAAATGAGGAAATGCAGAGAATATTAGAGAAGAAACACTTCAGAAACAAACAGAAAGAGATAGAATACATTTCGAAGAAATTGCAATCTTACGATTGGAAGACTTACCCTCATAGATGTCTTCTTATCTTAGATGATTTCGCCTCTCATCCTTTGTTAAAGAATAGAGAACAAGATATGTGTCGAATTCTTAAGAAGCTCAGACACTTTAACATCTCAGTTGTCATTTGTGTACAGACAGCAAAGAGTTTAAGTAAGGATGTAAAGAGAATACTTACTGACATTGTACTTTTCCCCGGATTGTCCGAAGACGATTTCATGGAACTTATGAAAGAGTCCATGGCAGGTAAGTTTGACAGACATGAACTATGGGAGAAGTACAAAGTCATACAAGACCCTCATACTTCTTTCAGAATTCATATCTACGCAAACAAAGTTCAAATTGTAAAAAGTCAAGCTTGAAAAATCTAAGTGTTTAGTCTTAGTAAGTCTGTTGTGGTGCTGGGGCTGTCGGTTCTTCTGGCTTTGGAAGGCATTCAGGAAGAGGAACGTCAGTCATCCGTTTGTGTCCTGTTGGAAGGAAAAACTTTTCCTGTCGGAAGGAAGAACTTTTCCTGTCGGAAGGAAAAACTTTTTCTGTCGGAAGGAAAAACTTTTTCTGTCGGAAGGAAAAACTTTTTCTGAAGTTCGACCAAAAAGTTCTCAATTTTCGAAAATTTGAATGGTTTACGGACGGACAACTGGAAAATTTTTTCCTGTCGGAAGGAAAAATTTTTTCTTTTGTCCGGAAAATTTTTTCCAGTTGTCGGGAAAATTTTTTCCAGTTGTCGGGAAAAACTTTTCCTGTCGGAAGGAAAAACTTTTTCTGTCGGATGGAAGGACTTTTTCTGTCGGATGGAAGGACTCGGAATGCCAGAAGGATTTGACGAGGCAATTTACCTAATTGAGCTACTTGAGCCATCTGAAGTCAAGCGTAAAAATAAAGAGTGCAATTTACCCTACTTGTTTGAAGTTGTCAAAATACTCTGTTATTTTTTCTTTCAGTAGCGGTAAGTCTTCTTTGAATGTAAGTATTGTACAACCTTTAATATCATAGTGTGTTTGAGGTAACGTATCTTGAACTATTTGTTTCACATCTTCATTCGGTGTCATTGAAATCGGTAAGTTTTCGCGATAGAACCAATTTCTGTCAGATTTGTAAATCTTAGCAAGGTCGTAAAAGCTTTTGTTGTTTCTTCTGACTAAATGCAACATAACCATATCTCTGTCTTCTTCTTTCTCCAACTCTTCAGTATAAATCATATACTTATAGTTCTTTTCCTTTCCTTTTGGTACCGAACGTGGTATTCTTTTCTGAATGCTTTTGTCTTTTGCTTCAATGACTTCATCTTTTGCTTGAAGTTTCTTTTCCATCTCTTCACGTTCTTGTCTATGAATTTCGTCAAGAAGTCTGTAAATATACCAAGCATAACGAGGCGAAGCCCACATTGCAACAGCATTTACAAGAAGTCTATGTACATACCAACCTCTCAAACCATTTGGCAAATTTTTACGATTTTCATGAGTTTTAGGCGACCCCGAAAAAAGTCGGTCTCGCTGTGCTTCGCTCAAAAGTTCTTGTGTGCTTTGGTTTTTGAACCAATCGTCTGTATGTTTGGTATCTGGAGCAAAACATGCTGTCAAAATACTTTGCATCTGGTACATATCGTCTTTGACCGAACGAATGAGACGGAGTTGTTTGTTATACTGAACCCACTCATATTCTTCATTTATAGCTTCATGGACTATAACTGTTGTTGTGTTCTCTGTTGTTGACATATCTGTCCTTACATACAAAATAAAAAAATAAATAAAAATAAAACTAACTTTATTTTTTCTATCTTAAGGAAATTCATGAAATTTGGTCATTTTTCAGCAAAAATAAAGTTTATGTTAGCATGTTAGATCTAACACATTTTCTAACCTCTTTTCTAACATGGTCTAAAACACACAAAACTCATGATTTTTGTTGCTGAATTCAGCAAAAATATATTTTAGGGTAGATGGTTAGATCTAACCTCATTTCTACCCTCTTTTCTACCCCAGTTATTTTATAAGCGTTTTACATGGTAAACGTTATGAATTCGTGAGACTTTAAACAGTTTTGTAGCTTCTATTTCTTCTTTTAGTACATCGAATGTTTTAACAATGCCGAAAGTTTCTTTATATTTCTTCTTGACGTCAGATAGAAGGAAATCTTCTGCTGTTGGATAGTTTTTGTCAAGACTTCATTGTAAATGACCAAAAATATATTTTATGTTAGCATGTTAGATCTAACACGTTTTCTAACCTCTTTTCTAACATGGTCTAAAACACACAAAACTCATGAAATTTGTGCTGAATTCAGCAAAAATAAAGTTTATGTTAACATGTTAGATCTAACACGTTTTCTAACCTCTTTTCTAACATAACTATTTACAAGCGTTTTACATGGTATATGTTGCGATGGTTCATGACTTTAAACAGTTTTGTAGCCTCTATTTCTTCTTTTAGTACATCGAATGTTTTAACGATACCGAAGGTTTCTTTATATTTCTTCTTGACGTCAGATAGAAGGAAATCTTCTGCTGTTGGATAGTTTTTGTTCAGAAATTCTAACATGTCCATTTTATCTTCTGCTGGTTTTTCTGCTTCTTTCTTTAAGTCTGCATAGTCGTTTCTCATTCTTTCTATCTCTTTGACGGAGTAGTTATATCTCCTCATTGCTGCTTTACATTTAGAACATTGCGGGTTCATTTTTGCGTTATATTCTGAAACCTTACCTGCTAAAACAACTAAAGCGTCAATGGTTTTCTTTAACTCAAAAGTTGCTGGTTTTATCTGTTTATTCCATACTTTACCTCTTCTATCTTCATCTCTTATTTCCCAAACACATTCAGCAACTAACGAAACAAAGTTGTCGTAGGTCTTAAATTCTTCAGATTTATATATGTCAGAGATGTTCTTATATACCATGTCGCAATCTTTGTCCATAACCTTATGGTTGCAATGAAATCCTAGAAACTCATAGTTTACCTTTCGTATGAACTTCTTTATTTCTACTGAGTCAGTTGGTTTCACTTCTATTTCATCGAATTCAGGAATAGTGAGTTTTTGTTGTTGGATTTCAGGCAATTTGGGTAAATGGTCGATGAGGTCCTGCATTTCATAAAGATACTGTTCATTTGTTTCATCTTTCGCACTACAGTCTAAATTACTTGTTAAAAGTTCTTGCTTTATCTTCTGGATTTCTGTTTCAAAAGTATATGAAGAAGGAATGAAGCTTTTCATTTCTACTAACATTGACATAGGATTCATGACTAACGAGTTTGGTGCTGTTGTTTGAATTGTTGTTGTGCCGATTGTTGAAATCATATCTTTTATACAAAATAAAAAAATAAAAAAAATAAAACTAACTTTATTTTTTATTTCGGGAAAATTCATGAAAATTCAAGAGGGTAGAAATGAGGTGAAAAAACAGGTGAGATCTCACCTCTTCACCTAAATTATATTTTTGGGTCCTTTACACTCATTACGAAGAAGTCTTGACAAAACATTTACGAAGAAGTCATGAAAATTCAAGAGGTGAAAAAAGAGGTGAAAAAACATTTACGAAGAAGTCTTGACAAAACATTTACGAAGAAGTCATGAAAATTCAAGAGGTGAAAAAAGAGGTGAAAAAACAGGTGAGATCTAACCATCTACCCGACATTCTCGTCAAATACAAAAAAATGACACTTTTTCATTAGATAACTGTTATTTTTTGACGAAGTGAAGGTTTACACTTCGTCAAAAAAATCCCTGAAATCATATCTTTTATACAAAAAAATACAAAAAAATGACACTTTTTCATTAGATAACTGTTATTTTTTGACGAAGTGAAGGTTTACACTTCGTCAAAAAAAATCCCTGAAATCATGTCTTTACATACAAAAAAATACAAAATAAATAAAATAAAACTAACTTTATTTTTTATTTCGGGAAAATTCATGACAAATTCAAGAGGTGAAAAAAGAGGTGAAAAAACAGGTGAGATCTCACCTCTTCACCTAAACATTATTTTTGGGTCCTTTACACTCATTACGATGAAGTCTTGACAAAACATTTACGAAGAAGTCATGACAAATTCAAGAGGTGAAAAAACAGGTGAGAAAACAGGTGAGATCTAACATGCTAACATAAATTATATTTTTGGTGTAAATTTCATGATTTTCGAGAGTTTTAGACCATGTTAGAAAACAGGTGAGAAAACAGGTGAGATCTAACATTCTAACATAAACTTTATTTTTGGTGAATTCAATAAAAATAAATGGTTCATTTACTCACAATATTTTTGTACAAAACAACCCCAAACTTTTAACTTCTTTTCTGCAGCTTCAAATGCTATCTTAGCGAGTTCATATTTTCTAAATTCTCTCTTTAAATCTTCTTGTTCCCATTGGTCTAGTTCGTATGGAGAATTTCTATAACCATAACATATCTCACGTTCATGTTCTAATTGTTTTTCGCACATTTTTCCAACTTCTTCTTCAAACAAAGGTTTAGCATTCTCTACTGTATCTTCGAGTTCTTCTTCATCTAACTTCTCATGAACTTTCTTGTCTATGGAGTCCATAATTTTTCCAACTGCTATGCAATATTTTGGAGAAGCCCACATTGCTATATAGTTTATAAGTCTTGGGTCTACATACGTTCCTCTAACCTGTTTGATTTCATCAGGAATTCCTGCATGAATTTTGTATAAAAAGCAACCGTCGGAATTCCGGCGGTTGCTATATTCTTCACAAAATGCCTTATAATACTCTTCCCAGGACTTATTTTCCAACAACTTTCTAAAGTCTTTCCTAAACTGCTGACACATATTTGTTGCATTAATGTAACCATCCTTGTCTCTACGTAAGACTTCAATACCGTTATAAGTGCCTTTTGTGAATGTTTCGCCATTAGATTTGTTAGTGAATGTTTTTGCTTCGACTGACATTTCTGTTCTTACCTACAAGATAAAAAGTTAGAAAAAAAAATAAAACTAACGTTATTTTTTCTGTCTTAAGGAAATTCATGAAAATTCAAGAGGGTGAAAAAAGAGGTGAAAAAACATTTACGAAGAAGTCATGACAAAACATTTACGAAGAAGTCATGACAAAACATTTACGAAGAAGTCTTGACAAAACATTTACGAAGAAGTCTTGACAAATTCAAGAGGGTAGAAATGAGGTTAGAAATGAGGTTAGATCTAACCATCTACCCGACATTCTCGTCAAATGAAAAAAATGACACTTTTTCATTAGATAACTGTTATTTTTTGACGAAGTGAAGGTTTACACTTCGTCAAAAAAATCCCTGAAATCATATCTTTTATACAAAATAAAAAAATAAAACTAACTTTATTTTTTCTATCTTAAGGAAATTCATGAAAATTCAAGAGGGTAGAAATGAGGTTAGAAAACGTGTTAGATCTAACATTCTAACATAAACTTTATTTTTGGTGTAAATTTCATGATTTTCGAGAGTTTTAGACCATGTTAGAAAACGTGTTAAAAACGTGTTAGATCTAACATTCTAACATAAATTATATTTTTGGGTCCTTTACACTCATTACGAAGAAGTCATGACAAAACATTTACGAAGAAGTCATGACAAAACATTTACGAAGAAGTCATGACAAAACATTTACGAAGAAGTCTGACAAAACATTTACGAAGAGTCTTGACAAATTCAAGAGGGTAGAAATGAGGTTAGAAATGAGGTTAGATCTAACCATCTACCCGACATTCTCGTCAAATGAAAAAAATGACACTTTTTCATTAGATAACTGTTATTTTTTGACGAAGTGAAGGTTTACACTTCGTCAAAAAAATCCCTGAAATCATATCTTTTATACAAAATAAAAAAATAAAACTAACTTTATTTTTTCTATCTTAAGGAAATTCATGAAAATTCAAG